AATAATAATAATAATAATAATAATAATAATAATAATAATAATAATAACTAACAACAACAGCAGCAGCAGCAGCCCCTATTGATACTTTTGTATTTTTTAGAACATTTCTCCTAAGTCCTCCTGCTCAAGATTTCCATCTTTTGTGTTTTCTCTCCATGTGAATGTGTGTTTCCTCTAGTTGCTGAACAGGTGTTTCCCTTCCAGACTCTGCTCTTATAATAAGATTTCTCTGTCTGTATACCTGGTACCACCAGTGTGTTTGTGGAGACATGTCTATATATTTGGATATGCTTTATGGAGTAACACAAAAGTATGCAGTGATTCACTGGAGGCTTCCAAAATTAAACACTTCTAAAGGGGTTAGCCTGGTTTCATGCAAATTGAAATGTTTCCTAAGATCCCTTCAAGCTCCTCTGTGCCAAATTGCAAGTTATAAATGAGAATGCAACACAAGAGTCTCTAGAGTACCTGAATATTTTTTCCAGACTACCCAAGTTACTTTTTCGGCAGCTAGTAAAGTTTTTTTTACTACTGGCAAACCTAATAATTGCTTATAAATATTGTATTCTTGAGATTCAGTATGGAGTGATTTACAAAACTAGACTGCTGGAAAAATGGTTAAAAAAGACGAGCTAAAGGGCTAAGAATGGTATTACAAACACAGCTTTCAAATGGAGATAAAAAATGAAATGCCATGCTGTGCAGCCTTAGGATATCTTATAGCTTGTCTTGAGCCAGAATTTCACAGGCAATTTGCATGATTGGTATACAATTAGTATAGCAAATATTTAATTTTCATAATGATAACAGACATTAAGCTACAATTTGTGAGCCTTTGTTTGAGGCATCTGGAGGACAAACTAGAAAAGGCAAGATGGCTGCCATGATATATGATCAAAGCACACCTTTCTTTATGAATTTACATGGGTTAATGTTTTAGAAGTACGAGTTGGGGCATGTACATAATCTCTTGGTTTAGTTTCAAACTAATACATGTGACACATATAGTGTTCAGAACTTTTTCATATATGACATCAAAAGTACATATTTATATGGATATAAATTGTTTCTATGTTGTAGAAATGTTGGTTTTATATTTCAAGATGGAGAAATTCAAAACTATATTTAGGGTTTGCTAAATAATGCTTCAATTAGAAAGCATATAATATATCATCCATTAGAGCATTAATAAGCAAAAACTCTATTACTTCTCTGTTGCAGTTAAGGAAGGTACTTTGCTGAATTCTGTCTGTCAGTCATCCAAAATATTTCACTTGCAGAAAAGCAGCTTAGTTTTTTTTCTTCCTTAGATTGCTTTCAGATTTAGAAACTCTTTTTTTTTTCCTCCTAACACTCTGCTTCCTCTATGATTATGAAGTGGTGGATGTGGCTGTCATTGTTCTCCCCATCCTTCAGCCTGTGCTTCCTGCTTTAAAACCCCCTTTGGGTAGAATTTCTCCTGATGTCTTCCTTTGGGATTTAATGGAAGTATGGGAAGTTAGGGACCCTGCAGGTGGCTGGGAAGATAATTGTATAGACAAATGAAAGGCAAAATATCTACCGCTGTGTGCAGCCTCTTGGCGATTGAGAAGTATACAAGAATTTCGCCAGAATATTTTACTCTTTATGTGGATAAGGGACAAATGCAAACCTTTTTTGGCATATTACTTAGAAATCTAAATAACAGCTGTATCAGCCTTCTTTTGAAAATAAAATGTAATGATTTGGACCTTATGGTATATATACAGTGAACCTCCCTCCCTCCCTCCCTCTATTATTAAAAATAATAAAAGCACTGGTAGTTTAATAAATTATCTCATGTTTTTGAATTATAAAGACTGTTTTGTTGACCTGTTTCTCAATTTTTAAGAAATGTCATCTCATCTAATAATGGAAATGAGTTTTGGTTGAATAAGTAAAAGGTTCCCAAAGAGTTTTTCTTCTTTCTGTTTAGTTGTATACACATCAGGCTGTCTAAAACAACAAGTTGAAAATTGTTTTTGGAAAAAAGGCAGAGTTCGGGGTGTAGAACAAAGGTACCCTTGCAATTTACACAGACCGAGATCCAGATTTGTAGGTGGGGACTATGGTCAGTGAATACACATCCTCTATTATGCAGTCTGTAGCAGTACACACCTCATTGCATTCTTCTTTCCCTTTTTCCTTACCCTTATAGCTAATGACAATATTCTCTACTTCTTGATGTCTATCCCCTGCCACCCACTGTTGGAAGAGAGACAGTATTCTCTTCTATTCCTCTTACTACTGACATTGGAGTTCTCTCTTGGCAGCTAAAATTCATTTCCAAACCCATTTAATCCTTAGACAGTCAGTGAGGGATTCACTTTTTTATTAGGTTTCCTCTACTGTCCTTTGAAATTAATATTTAATCACTTTTCACCAAAAAGAGTGTTTTCCCCAAAATTATTGAGAGCCCTGTTCACTCTAAAGCTTGGATTATAATTTATCTCACTGTAAAAGAGAATTTGTTACAAATTTCTATTGCTGAGTGTTTTTGAGTTTCTTGTGGATGATAGCAGAATACTTTAAAGCTAATTTGACTGTCATTTTGCACATCCTTCCAGTACTGTGAAGCATCCACTCTGAAATGTTTTTTCATCAGGTCTTTCCTTGGGATTTCATAAAAGTGCTAGAAGCCAAAGGGACTGTAAACAGTTGGAAAGATAATGGTAATACATCACATCTTTTGGTCACCTTGAAATTAAGTGTGAGAAAAATCTCACTTTACCCACAACAATTTTACAAAATTATCTTCTTTTTTAAAAAGAAATCCCAAAAGGAATTTCTGTTTCATCATGTTGAATGGGAACTAATAGAAAAATATGCATGCAAATGTTTTTGGATTGCACAAATTTGTACACATGGTATCTTGGTGGTTCCTTGGAATGCAATGTATGTAAAAGATATTATGTGTATGTAAAAGATGTTAGATCGTGGTATCTTTTATGGGTACAGAACAGAAGACATTTGTGAAATGTTCAGTTTGATATGCAACTCAGAGGAAAATTATATATACCATCAGCCTATTGAAGGCATAGACGTACTGTATATTTAGTTATTCCCAGAGTGAGTCTTACTATTTCATTGGACAGTTCATTTTATGCAGTAGCTGGTGCTGTACAGATTTAAATCATGTTGGCGTAAGAGGAGATCCTATAGTTTACAGTCTGGGAATTAGGTTACAAATCTTTAGTTCTTGCAACAGAGTTTGCATGGATAAATGATTATTGGAGTTAACATTTTTATGGATAATGTTCTGATTTTTATGAGCAGCATGGTAGCTTAGAGGTTAAGATGCTCGCCTCACATTCTGAGGTTGAGAGTTCAATCCTAGGCAGTGGCAGATGTTTCTTTATCTGGGCACAAAGAGAAAATATCTGCAGCAAACTCCCCATGACGCCAGGAAGGAGATCCGGCCAGCAAACATTCAGCTCCATTTAGTTGCTCCAACTCCACCCTGAATAAAAGGAATCAAGGGTCATAAAAAGAAAAAAAAATCTGATTTTTATCAGCGGCATAGCCAACAAATGGTTGGAGACGATGTGTTCCCAACATAGAAAGCTGTGATAGGGAAAGCTCTACCAGTTGAACTCAGGCCTGTCACAGACATAAAAGGGAAGACCTATAATAACCTACCTAAAAGAAAGTTTAAATATGTAGTCATGAATAATTCCTCTTTTTTTCCCCGAACATACACCTGATTCTGTTAGAAGTTTTATTCCTTGTGATTTCTTACATAGTCATATTATTACTTTGCAATGCTTAATGTTTTCCTCTGATGTTGTTCCTCCACAGAGCCCCTGAAATCATCCTTGGTTTACCCTTCTGTGAAGCAATTGATATGTGGTCTTTGGGATGTGTCATTGCAGAGCTTTTTTTGGGTTGGCCATTATATCCAGGAGCTTCAGAATACGATCAGGTTGGCATTGTTGGTTTTGTTGCTATTGTGGTTATTATTTGAACAAATCTGATAACTCTTTTGCTCCAAGGGTGTCAAACTTCATGAATTTAATGGGAAATTATCTTGATTATCTGTTTCTTTCCAATGGTGTTACATTTGCATTTAATATTATATGATATCTCTTCAGAATGCCAACTCAACAGGCACATTCTCCCAGTTCAAACACTTCCTTGGTATTTTTACAACAAAAGATGTCAGTCGGGGTAGGGAACTTGTAGCCTTCCAGGTGTTGGTGAATTACAATTTCTGGCAACTTCCAGCAATGGACAGGATAGTTGGTGTTGCTGGGAGTTGTATATTGACAGCATGTCGAAGTTGTAAAATCTATGAATTGAAAGTCAACATTTAAAAGTAATTTCTGAACTTAGGCATTTAGCTGAATTCATGGAGAGCTTCAAAGATCTACTCTTTCTGATTCCGCATGATCAGTTGAAGGTCTAATGTGCATTTGCATTGACCTGAAAATGTGAATTGCTTTCCATTTAATTCTGGACTCTAATAAAAGAAGCACCAGATCATGCAGAAAGCCACAGTATATTAACACTCAAGTAAACACAAATACAGTGTTCCTACAAACTGCCAGTTAGATGTGTAGAGGTTGCTGTCAAAATGGGTCAAGGCATGTATCTAATCTCTATCTAGCTTTAGCTATGTGTATTCAATTGAATGCTTGAACAGAGCTCAGGCATACCAACAAAGGCTAGTATAATAATACTCTTACACCTATTCTTCTCCAAACCAGACATCACCAATCCATCTAGTTCTGTGGATTAAACTCCCAGGATTTGCTTAGTATAGCTGTTAACAAAAGATGTTAACAGTCCAGACATCTAGAAAGCACCCAATTGAGGGGAAATTACACTGTTTTTCATTCTGTCTCCAAATTTTAACTTTCCCATTTCCAGTTAATCATGTTTGCCCTGCCCTGTTAGCATGAAACAATGTTATAGTTTTACTGCTGAGGCATATTTTGTTATTCTGGGACTTCTGCATCTCAGCTGTCAAAACTGAGTGTTAAGAGTTTTCCATATCTCTTTTCTGTCTGTCTGGATTTTTTTGCAGCCCAGATATAGTAGTCCTACTTATTCTGTGTAATGTTTGGGAATAGTAGTACTTTAGTAGCACTTTGCATGAATGTATTGTCAATCATGAATTTCACTTTCAAAAAAAGAGAACATTGTCTATCTGGGAGTCTGGTCAGTGGGGTATACTATTCTCCAGTATAGAAAGTATCAACAAAAATACTTCTTGTACAATGCAAAAAAAAAAAAAGCAATATACTCAATGTTTCCAAGATCTACCAATGAAAATCATGTGCCTCTACCAAAGACACATTTTATATTAGAGTAGCTTGCTCCATGTTGGCACTCTACATTGTCTTTGTTCCATATATCTCTGGAATACAATCTCCCTTTTTTTCCAACAGTACCACTGCTTGTCAGCTATTCCAAAGAGCATTTCCCCTGATCATTATTTCAAGGCAGCACTTCTCCTGATCAGATGAGTTATCTAAAGTAATGGCTGGAGACCTTCTTTACCCTTTATTCGGCTGTGGTTAAGACCTAGAGAGGCCTGTAAAATAACTCCTGTCTAGGGATTCCATCTCTGTGGCTGAGATTCCATCTCTGTGGATTCCATCTCTGTGGTCCCCCACCTCTTGGGGAAGAACAAGAGGCAGAAAAGGATAGGAAATGGATATTCTCCCTTCCTCACTCTAGCAGCAACAATCTGATTATATCACAACTATCCATTTAATAAAATTATAGGAAATGGTAAAGGAATTCACACTCCTTTCCCTTCCTCAAAAAGATAGGTGGACTGAGATAACTGTTGCATGATTATGTGGGACAAACTAATTTTGCACTGCCAAGACATACAAATGTGGAAAGTAAACTGGAAAGAAGAATGTTTCAATTAGCTACATTTTCATGAACAAAGCTTATTTCTCATTTATTCAACCATGGAAGTTCTAATTATTATCTAAAGGTCATGTAGTGAATTTACAGCTATAGTGTATGCCAAAGGTCTGTCCACCCGTTTTGAGTTTCCACAATTCCTAATTTATTGCTATGAAACGCTGCCAAATGTGGCATAGAAGATGGATGCAGCAAGAAAGTTCACCCTCCTTATTTTTATTCAGGAAGATCACTATTTATGCTTGTGAAACATGTTGACACAGAGGATTATAATCGAAACATTGAATTAGTATTAGAAACTAAAATATACTGAATACTCTTTAAAAAACCCAATAATTGCATGAAAATAAAACCTGTATTATTAAATAGCAGGAACGCTTACATTAATTTAAAGGGCTACAATTTTTATGACATAAGCTTTCACTACATATGTGAAATGCAAATTGGGGATTTGCTATAGTTTCTGCAATTCATTTCCAAATGTCCTATTTACAGGCCGCACACAGTAGATTTAGAACTTTCTTGTAACTCTGGTTGAATTCTCCATGTGTCTAATGAAATAAACTATAATCATAGGGGATCATTTAAGTTCAACCAATCCAATTCAAGTATCTCTAATGAATAGCTATCTTTAATACATCCAGAAATAAATTTGTTAGTCTTAAGATGCCATAATTTTCTTTGATACTTTTGCTGTCCGATCCTTTGCTTCTTTCAGAGTATAAAGCAATTTCACATTTTTAAAGCCTAAAAACAAGGAAAAACTAGGTAGGCTTAACATTTTGCTATTGTCCAAACACTATTCTAGAAAGGGTCTTGGGACAGATGACCATTACAGATGGAGCAAATCCCATCTTTTTCATAGGGAGGTTGACAGGATACTGAAGCTGCAACCAAAGTATTCTTTCCTTTACTCAGCCTGATGTGGATCAGATAGTAGTTGGCTACAAAGTGAAACTTCCCTTGATAATATAAACAAATGGGTCTATTGTAGAAGTCTAAATATGATCTTGTTAAGAATGTTCCTAGTGAAGGGTTAGATCACGGGTGTCAAACTCACTGCGTCACGTTGCCATCATGTGATGTATTGTGGCTTTTCTCCCTTCACGGAGTTGGGGTGGTCATGGCCTATGCATGACACATCTGCCAGTTTGACATCCCTGGGTTAGATGGTGGTATCAATCAAAATCATTGTGCAGCTATTGTGTGCTTTTCTCTTAGTCGTTTTTGCTTTGTTTGTTTTTGAATTTTGTGGAAAGCAAAGTAGATCAAAGAAATAGCAGGAAAGGTCCCACTTGAAATGTGTCATCTGGACCCCTGGAAAATCCGGTGATTGAAACAGGTCATTGGTGGCCTTGAGCAGAAATTCTTGGATTAAAATCAATATTTGCAGATGACAATTGCTGGAAACTACATTTAATTCTTGGTTTCTGCACAAAATCAATCTCTGCTCTGTCATTGGCCAGCATGGATTTAGCATTGGTTTGCCTAGAGCCTACAGGTTTTAAATGATTCTGCGAGAATACACATAATTAGCATATACACAGGGAGGTAGGGAAAACTAATGTCTGAGCATCAGTTGCATTTAAATCCTTCAGGAGGTCAGACAGCTGAATGTCCTCAGTTCTAAATCCAGCCTGTTATTCCTTTTATTTACCACTTAATGCTCTGCACTAAGATATTGTATATCTCATCCTTCCCATTTCTGGTTTAATGCCACTGCCATATTATTTATTTCCAGAAGCAGCAGAAGTTTGTGTTGTAGTTGTAAAACATACTTACAGTTTTAAATTTTACTTTCACATACACAACCACACACACACGTTCAATAGCATTTTAAGAAAGTGTGTGTTTTATATTAAATTAAGATATCCCATTTAACAAAGTAAGTTCCAGCATGTAAACATAGGAAGATGTCTCCCAGGGTAGTGTTGTTTGACACACTTACTACTGTTTACTTTGCTTCCTCAAATCTCAAACCCAGATACTGTATGTTTCTATTGTTTACTGCCTGATCCTTTTTAAATTGCAGGTGTAAAAACTGAAACTTAGGATATACATTAAACCTATTGTCACATTTTTGGATGCTGATAGTCATTTTGATACAGATTCCTTCCTGCCGACATTGTTCTAATCCCGTGATGGTGAACCTATGGCATGTGTGTCAGAGGAGGCACACACAGCCCTCTCTGTGGGCACGCAACCCATCGCTCCAGCCCAGCTCTGCCATGCATGTGTGTGTCTCCTGCTGGCCAGCTGGTCTTCGGGTCTCTGCCACGCATGTGGGGGGGTCGCATGCAGGGGGCAGGACACATGCACGGGAGCGGGGTGCATGCATGGGGGTGGGATGCATGCGTGGGGAACGCACGCACATTGCATTTTGGGGATGTGCGCGCAATTGCGCTTTGGGCACTCGTTGCCGAAAAGGTTAGCCATCACTGTTCTAATCACTTGGACTCACTGGGTCCTTGTACATCTTTCGACACATTTAGGATTTCCTTCTCTCCCATCTGGGTCTATCAGTTATTAAACATGCCCAGATCTGATTGATGTCCATTTTTTTTCCCCCAATACAAAGCAAATGGCAAGAGAATGGGATGGTGGTGAAATAATGTAACATCATTTTCGATGCATTTAGTTCATACAAGTCCTCTTAAAGTTAATATTTGAGGATAAAAGCCAGAGTTGTAAATGTTCTGTTGCCAATAAAGCACAACCTTGAAACATACACACTTTCTTTGTATAGGTTTATTGCCTTTCCTTTATCTTTATGGGCTATGAACAAAATGATGTACACCATAAGCTTTAAAGGCTAATACAGCAGTGTGGTGGGATTTTAATAGAGAAAAGCAAGATAACTTTATAGCATCCTAGTAATTTAGACTTTTAATACATAGTCAACATTATTAATGGTTGAATTTGTGGGGCATCGCCCTCCCTTTCAAATCATTGATTTGAGTAGCACTTTCTGTGCCTTCGTTTTATTTGTATATTTTCTTTCATTGTTAAATATGCACACAAATATGTTTACTTCACTGGGCAGAAATTCTGACATAGATCTCAGTGAAATAATCCTGGTCTCGTCTTCTTCTTATAGATCCGATATATTTCACAGACACAAGGCTTGCCAGCTGAATATTTGTTAAGTGCAGGAACAAAGACCACAAGATTTTTCAACAGGGACACTGATTCACCATATCCACTGTGGAGGCTAAAGGTAAAGTGATGTTTTGGTGTTTTCTTAAGCACCCTTTGGCCCTGCATTTCATAATATTGAAATATTACTGATACATTTAGTAAAATTATAATGTTGCGCTGATGCATAGTGGCTGCAATCAGAAATTCAATTTTGGTCTGGCTTGAAGGGGTTGTTTATTTAATTATATTTATTGTAATTACTGAACCGAAGAAGCTGCTTGGATGAGAAGCGAAATATCTTCAAGGAAAAACAAAGTCCAATTGCCTTTTGAAAAACCACCTTTGGAGTACATTTATTATAATTGCCTACTCACAACAGCTTGTACTAGCCAAGTTAAGCTGTGTCTTGTACAATAAGACAGGAGCTTCATATTTTGATAATTTAAGAACCAGAAGCAAGCTCATAAAAAGAGTTTTATGAATTATATTAGATACAGATTCTTCCTGTCTGACTTGCTACTATTGGTTTGGAAGGTAGAAAGCTTTTACTGGAGATTATCTTGTTACTCAAGACTTCCTGGCTCAGATTCTGTAATTTCTAGAATAATCTTATGAAAAGAAACTGCAATTGTATTTTACTGAATGTGGTATCTTCAACATTACTTGCCCCCATTAATATAGCCAATGCAATCTCATTTTACTGCAATATCAAAAGATAATATCAGGTACTTTTGATCCTGAGGGAAGACGAGGATGAGAAATCTTTACAATGCCTGAAGGGTTGCATTCACTTCTGCAGAGATTCATGTCATGGCAGCAGACACAACCGAAACCAAAAATGGTTAAAGGAGCAGTGTTTATTTCCTTCCCTTATCCCCACTCTCCCATTTTCTATATCTCTCCCCAACCCCAACCTGTACGAGGAAGATGAGTTCAAAAGGTGCCATATCTAAGCTAAGAGTTCATTCCTTTAACAATATTTTTTTTATTTATTTATTTTTTTTATTTGTCAATTGCTTACAAGATATTAGGTATAAGTAAAAACATAGTTATGAATACATGGATACATATAAGAAAAATAAAAAATATATAAAAGAAACAATAGGACAGGGACGGTAGGCACGTTGGTGCGCTTATGCACGCCCCCTAAGACCATGTGTTGTTGAACCTGCTTTCCATATGATGAAAAATATTGCAATGATTTGAAATAATGCAAAGATTTATTCTCATTTTCTTGCAACTCTTATGTGTGATGGACAATATACATGTATTGGATAATATTGTGTTGGCATTATGCTTAAAAGCAGTGGTAAATTATGTATCCTTCACTTGAGTTAATAATATATTGGTGTATAGTAAAATACTGGTTTTTGTTATCTTTTTGGTTAATTCTGGGCAGACACCGGATGACCATGAGGCAGAGACGGGTATCAAGTCAAAAGAAGCAAGAAAGTATATTTTCAACTGTTTGGATGACATGGCACAGGTAAAAATATCGCTGGGCTATCTATTTGTCAATAATAATATAAGTAAATAAAATCAATGAATTCTTCCATCAGTCCAAAAGATTTGTAGATAAATTAAACCTGTAGTAGCTTAATTTGCTTTTCAACCTGTATCATTGCCAACAAAGGAACTTCTTATGAGATTTTCCTTATAGAGAAGATCAGTAAATCACAAATTTTAAACTCCTATCCTCACTACAATACACATCCACACACAAAAGTGGGGTTTGTTCTAGAACTGAGACTGGGATTTTTAAAAAGGGATTCTTAACTAGATAAACCATCTACACACATTATATTTTAAATATTGTCAAGCTTCCCCCCTTTTAAAATGTAGTGTGTGTGCTTAAGGCGCAATGTTTATGGGGAAGTCCAGCATTATACTTGTCAGGTCTCTCTATAATACATACATCTTAAAATAGGTCTCATAATGTTGTACAGCAGGTACTGGTCATCCAGTTTATTCAACAGAGAAGTTGATAGGAAAACATTATTACGATTGAAAGTTATAACCTTGTTAGAACTTACTGCACATAAAACCTACATAGGAGAAAGTAACATTGTTTACATGCATTTAGAATAGCTATGCTCAAATGGAAATGGAAATGTCCAGTTAAAGACTATACCTCCCCAAAGACTGTAAGGAGGATGAAGAAGAACCTGCAGATTTGATTAGTTCAGACTTTCTAGAATTCTGTATCTACTATTGATTTGAATTTCCCTTCCAGGTAAATATGACAACAGATTTGGAAGGAAGTGATATGTTGGTGGAAAAGGCAGACCGGAGGGAGTTCATAGATCTGTTAAAGAAAATGTTGACGATAGACGCAGATAAGAGGATAACGCCAATTGAAACACTCAATCACCCTTTTGTCACCATGACACACCTGCTCGATTTCCCCCATAGCACCCAGTAAGTTTCTTTCTCTCTGATTTGGTGATCTTGGAGTGGGGAGGAGTGAAGAATGGGATGCAGGGGAGGGTTAATTGATAAGCTGCCAGATGTGCCTCTTGGGATCACAACAGATTTTGCATATACGTGAAAGCCAAGCAGAATTTAGAGACCAGGAAAACTGTTTACATGACGAGAATATTTTCATGATCTTTCAGCTCTTCTTCTAGAAATGGTTTATTTTGAGTTAATTTTTTAGCTTTGGAGTCATGAGATATTATTCAAGAATGGCATTTCTGGTTCTTTGCCCCAGTGATTTATGAGTTGCTTCAAGTATTTCATTTTTAGCCAGTAACTGCTAGGAAAACTGGGTGGATGATTCAGCTTCAATAACAAGAAAGCAAAAGTATTTTGTTCCCCTTATTTTCTAGAGGTAGGCTTAGGGATATAAGAGAAAGTTTTGCAGGGAAATCATGGAAGCATTTTTTAAGGCTCACAGGTGTACCATCTGTAACACAGGAAAACCAGGGGTGGGATTCAAAAATTTTAACAACTGGTTCTGTGGGTGTGGCTTGGGTGGTGGGCGTGGCTTGGTGGTCATGTGACTGGGTGGACATGGCTTGGTGGTCATGTGATTGTCTGGGCATGGCCAACTCAATATCACTCACACTGAGGCACGCATCTCCTCGCCTGGCCTCTCATGACTATGGGGATGCTGCAACAGTCGTAAGTGTGAAAAATGGTCATAAGTCACTTTTTTCAGTGCCATTGTAACTTTAAAGGGTCACTCCACACAAGCAAAGTACCAGCAAAGGAGGGGGGAAAAACTCCAGAGACGTTCCTGAGACAGGGAGTCTAGTCCTGCCAAGAATGTAATAAGGGTTAACAGAGAAGCAATTTATGTAAGCAACACCAAAATGTTTCCTTCCTGCCTTCCTTACAGGATTAGGCCAGTAATTTCTTCTAACAACTGGTTCTCCGAACTGCTTAGAATGTTAACAACCGGTTCTAGCGAATAGGTGCGAACTGGTAGAATCCCACCCCTGAGGACAACTATTGAACATGGTAGACATAAACTGAGTAAATTTCCTTGACAGACTTTAATACATCTCATCTTGTGCTATGATACCACACAATTGTAGCCTCACTCCACATCAATAGCTACCTCCATGCAAAAAAAAAAAAAAACACCATCCTACCCCAAACCCTCAGTTATTAGATCACAAACTCTCAATTATTAGATCACAACCCAAACAACAGCAGGAATGTAGTAGATGCATGATTGCCATTAGTGGATGGTTTGTGGATACTTTCAAGTAAAATGCAGCTCAATGCTAGAAAATGAATCGATGAGAGTCTGTGAAGAATTATCAAACTCTTTGGGATTATATCTCAGAATAGAAAGTTTGACTAGTTGCCTCTAAAAATTTCCAAACTGATGATTATTTTTGCTTGCAATAGTTCTCCATCCCATTTTTCTTAATAATTTTAAAATTATTTTTATTTTAAATGTAATCCAGGACAAACTTTCTACAAATAAGACATGGTATTCTGATTTGACACAATAGTAAGAATTATATCAATATTTGACTGTGGATAGTGCAAAAAATATAAAGAATGTATGTAGGATCTCCTTACTACAGGGATTTAATGAGCTTTTTTTTTTTTTCAAAGGTTCAGTTTTGGCATTGTTCATTGGAATGACACAAAAGGAAAAATAAATCCTAGCATTTTAGGACATTTGAACTGTTTCAGGGCCTGGTGATGTTAGAGCTATAATAAAACTCAAAACAGAGCAATAGTCTGAGAATGCATGGTAGAAGAAGCAGTGATTCTAAAAATTCATGATATTTGCATAATTGTTGTTGAGAAAATTAAAGAATTTATCTCTTGAAGCCGTGGGTTATATTCTTAACAGCAGCTGTATCTATTACATCAACTTATTTTCCATAGCTGCCCTTAAAGAATCCTAGGAACTGTACGATAGTGGGTATGGTAATGTTTTAGTATGGCTGCTTATCATTCCAGACAAAAACTACAATTCTAGCTGTCCCTGGGGAACATTTTTTTTTGTAGTATTGATGACAAATAATTTTTATGTTTGTAATATAGTTCTATGTATAATGAATAGAGAGTTTTCTTTTGGCACTAAATAGCTGAGCTTACAATTTGTATTAAATCATGGCTTGTTTTAAGCCTAGTTTATTGAATAAAACAGAGTAGCTGAGCTCATGTCTCTTATGAAAGCAAATGTGATTTTCCCCCATCAATTAAATTACTACTAATCTTTGGTTCTCTTCTTTATAAATAGTGTTAAGTCCTGTTTTCAAAACATGGAAATTTGCAAGCGGCGAGTAAACATGTATGACACTGTGAATCAGAGCAAAACACCATTCATCACCCATGTAGCCCCAAGCACATCAACCAATTTAACAATGACCTTCAATAACCAGCTCAATACAGTTCATAACCAGGTAAGAATAATCATTATGATGGTCTAACTTGGTGGGCTTCCAGAGCTTTGGAACTTCTTTCTTTTAAGGGAAGAGATCTTCTAGTATGTTTCTTTTTCTTTTAATGTATAATCTCATAACTTAAGTACAGGTTAGCAATATAGACTACTAATGACCCAAGATCATTCAGAAACTCTGGATCCAGTATATTTAATTTTCTTTTCATTTATAATCTTATAACTCAAGTAGAAGTTGGAGGTATAGACTGACAGATGGTCCAAGATTGTCAGAAACTGTGGATCATCAAGAATTTGACTTTGATCCTTCTCAATCTAACACCAGTACCTTCTAACTTATTGTGACAACACATCTTCCTTCAAAAAATGTTTTCTCAATGATAATTTTAGTAGCCAGTGACAATTATGACTAAAGCTTTTTTGGATTTCTGTCATGTGCATATACACAATACTGACATCATACATGCAAGCACAAAAAGAGGGAAAGAAGAAAAGGACAACATGGGATTTGGCCCTTGAGGTGGAAATTTTGTGAAGCTGCTCTTATTTTGCTTTCATGGCTGTGACCCTATTTGGAACATTTTGCAAAATGTCAGAAGTCTTCAGTGTTCTGCTGCTGCTGCTTCTAACACATCACCATGGATATTTGTGAAGAACAACAGCATCAGAATGCGAATGTTGCAACTTATGTACTTATATCAGATGTCCGGATACAATTACTTAATTATGTCCTTTCTGTGGTCATTAGTTGTCTAGGCATCACTGCAGCTTGTTGCTTAATTGAATACGAAAGGAAATATTTTTAAAAAATATTATTTTGGGGCCATAGATTCTTTTTTAAGGAAAAGAATCTGGTTTATTTTGGTTTTTTATATTTTTAAAGTTTTTTTTTTAATTCATGACAGTAGTATTGGGATTCCTCTTGACATTATTAATAAAGTCTCATTAATACTCATTTTTTTGCATCACAAAAGTTAACAACTAAGAAAATCAATCACATTGATGAAATAACAAATAGGGAAAGAGGGTCAAAAATCAAAATATGTGATAGAGACATTTCTACTTCATTCTAATTGGTGCAAGGTATAATCAAAATCTAATAATCCTTAATGAATAGTATTTTCTGAAACAAAGGTGGCGGGACCACAGATTCTGTGTACATTCTTAAATTATTAAAGGACATTTAAGGAATTTAATTTATAGTCAAATGAATGCAGGATTGAATGAAGAAAACAAATAAAGCTTCAGCTAGAATCACAATCTTGAATGTGTAAAATAATGGCTTTTGTCTATGAATTTTAAGGACAAGAATCAGAAAAGGGTGCTGGTTCACACTTGATTAGAAACTGTGAACTGGGGTACTTGGAGCAGGGGTCAGATTCAAAATTTTTAAAAACCGGTTCTGTGGGCATGGCTTAGGTGGTGGGGGTGGCTTGGTGGTCATGTAACTGCATGGACATGGCTTGGTGGTCATGTTATTGGCTGGGTGTGGCCAACTCAATATCACTCACAGCGAGGCACGCATCTCCTCGCCTGGCTTCTCATGACTGTGGGGATGCTGCAACAGTTGTAAGTGTGAAAAATGGTCATAAGTCACTTTTTTCAGTGCCATTGTAACTTTAAATGATCACTCCACACAAGCGAAGTACCAGCAAAGGAAGGGAAAAAAACTCCAGAGAAGTTCCTGAGACAGGAAGTCTAGTCTTGCCTAGAATGTAATAAGGGTTAACGGAGAGGCAGTTTCTGTAAGCAACACCAGAATGTTTCCTTCCTGTCTTCCTTACAGGATTAGGCCAGTAATTTCTTCTAACAACCGGTTCTCCGAACTGCTTAGAATGTTAACAACTGGTTCTAGCGAATAGGTGCGAACTGGTAGAATCCCACCCCTGACTTGGAGTCAATTACTAGCTTTCCCTGTAAGGAAGAGAAAGTGAGATCAATCAAGCTACTGTACCAGAAAAAAAAAAAACACAGATGTCAAAATGAAGCTGACATAAAACAGTTTCATTGTCAATAGTCATGTGGGAATATTTTAATAGATAACCTTTTCTATCACATCTTCTCAGATGGAAGGGATGGAAAGTAATTCATCAAACTATTCTTAAAACCGCTGCAGTTCTCCAGATGCTTAGAATTCTTCCAATTCTTAAAAAAAAAATCTAAACTAGGGGGCTTCCGGTTTGAGCTTCTTCAGCGACAGACCGAAACCTCGTTTCTGCGAGGCTTTGATCCGTGCTCGCTGCTGGAGCTCCCCGAGCCAGCTGGTTTCGGGGGTAAGCCACCCCGTAGAGGTGGTGAAGAGGGGGGAGACTGCCTGCAGGGTTGAGGAGAGCCGCATCTCTCCTCCCCAGCTGGCCATTACTCCCTTTCCTGAAGGTGGTTGCAGCGGTGGTCAGAAATGGCCACCACAAAGAAGAACTCGACCAGAAAAGAATGTGCAGGAGGAAGATAAGAAGAGAAAGTTTTGGTTGACCGGGTCAAACAGCAAAAGCAACAAATAAGGTACCCTGGAATTGAAACTATTAAAAAACAATAACATTGTTCCCTAATAAGATTTTTAAGCTGCGAAGGAGAGAGAAAAGGGAAAAGATTTGGTTTTCTCCTTTTCCTATAGTGACAGCTAAGAGACTTAAGCAAGAAATTGGAAAAAAATCCACTTTGACATCAATAGGCATTTAATGCTGAAAATAAAAGGGATAATAAAGATTTCTGGATAATTAAAAGCTTTTGAAAACAGGAAAGGAGAGAAAAAGAATAAAAGGGCAGGATCTGGAAGGGAGGAGACTGCCTGGAATTAAAAAAGAACTTACAGCAAAATCTCAACAAGATTTCCAAAAGATACATTCTAACTGAAATATCGCAACAAAAACCCCAGGAAGAGAAAGTCGAAAAAGAAATAAGAAGATATAACTTGGGACTATCTGGATTACTTGATGATTTCTGGATTCTTGGTTATTGTTTTGAATGACTAAAATCAATCGGGTGGTTGTTTAAAACTGTTTAAAATGGTTCCACTTTTAGAAGAACTGAAAATGGAACTTAAAAAGTACAAAGAAGATGCACAAGAAGGGAGAGGTTCTTTTGGCTTCGTATTTCGGTTTTTAGAAATGGAGATTTGGAATTATGAGAAACAACAAGAAATGCCTGCAGAACAAGAAGATTGCGACAAAGAAGAAGCCATCTTTAATGAACAAGTAATCTTAGATGGGGGGGGGAAGGAAAGTGGGGAAAGAGAATGGAAAGTTTAAGATTGGGAAAAACAACTCCAAAAAAAATTAGAGTGAAAAATAAGTATAAAATCAGAAAGCAACAGAAGAGGGAAATGCAGAAGAGAGAATTAGAACTCGAGAGACAAGAGGGTAAAAAGGGGAGGGAGAAGATGAGAGGGAAGAAAGAAAGGAAAATAAGTTATAAAGGACAGAAACAAAATATAGAGAAACAGGGCCTATTTAGAGATAATGGGTGAAAACTTAATGGAAAAGGGGATTCTGCAAAGGTACATAAGATAGTATGGTTATGTTAGAATCAGAAATAATTTTAGAAAATATGAAACAATGTATGATTAAAATGTTTGATAAAATAGCTGTCGTAATTCAGTGGAATGCTTGTCAATAAATAAATGTAACAAAAAGTATATTTAATGATTTATAAAACATATGTGAAGAGAAATAAGGGAAAATTCATTATGGAGATTATATGTGTTTTTAAGGAAGTATGATATTTAATTGAAAAGAAGTGTTAAAGATGTTAAGATTTTAATGATTATTAATGATAGAACTGAACTGGAATGGAATGAGGGTTTATAATTACATATATTTACAATCTTTCTTTTTTTTAAAAAAAAAAGAATATAGTGTGTATTATAAGTATGTACCAAGCAGAATTCGATTGGAAGTTATGTATTATATTGAAGGTCATAAACTTAAGGTATATATTGAAGTTTAAATAAGAGTCGAATGGATGTAATTAAAAGATATAAAGGTGTCATACTCCAATTAGTAACTACAGGAGAAAATTTGTTTAATCAGAAAAGATAATGTGAAATTGAAACAGAACAGACAAAAGGATAAATATATGGATTTGAATTGAGATGAGATAATCAAAATAAAATTGAGAAAATTAAAAGAGGGGAAAAACTATATAGAAAATGTAAAATAGTATAAGATATGGAATAGAATACAAAAAGGAGCATGAAATTGAGTTTTGTGTCTGTATAAAGAAGTTCAACCCGGGACTATGCTATTTTCAAAAAAGATGTCTTACTTGTATTTTGTATGTGTGAAAACCCAAATAAAACTTTATTAAAAAAAATCTTAACTAGAGCTTTGGCCCTACAGCAAGATGTCTTGAATTTTTTAAAAAAAGTCTTGAAATACACCTGATATCTGAAGCCATACGTTTAGAATTAGAACCAGGGGTGGGATTCTACTGGTTTGGCCTGGTTCGGCTGAACCTGTAGCTCCGAAGATCATCTGAGAGCAAACCGGTTCGCCCCGATGGTCTGCTGTTGGGCCCACTCACCCCACCCACCCACCTGGTCTCCCATACTGACCTTTATTTCCTGCTTTTGAAGCGCAGCTGCTTTGCGCGGCACAGTAGATTGCCACGCATCAGCTGTTGAAGACACAGGGAGAGAGCAGGATTGCAGGAGGTGAGGAGGAAATCCTCTGTGCATGCGCAAAGCACATGTTTGGCATGCACACAAAGTGTGCACACGTGCCCACCAAGCCACGCCCACTGAACCGGTGGTAAACCACTTTGAATCCCACCACTGGTTAGAACTAAAGGAAATTCTGGACCCATCAGAGGGTTGCATTTCTATAGAAATCTCCTGTCCCCATGCCATATAATATAACATACACATAAGATCCCTTTGTATTCTATCCATCCCAAGCTACCACTGTACAACCATTGAAAAACCAAATCAAGCTGCTTGTGGAGCATGTAAGTCAACAAAGTGAGCCATGTCACCAAGTATCAAGAACAATCAAGTAACACACATGCAATGTATTATTGAGTATTAATGATCTAGAAATATTTATTCATTTTTTCAGATGCATAGTCTGGAATCTTTCTATATGGACAACTTGACTATCATTGGGGGTTGTAGTGATGTCTGGGGCTATGATTATGATAAGTTGGTACAGGTAATCCTCGACTTACAACCTCATTGAGCCCAACATTTCTGTTGCTAGGTGAGGGCATTTGTTAAGTGAGTTTTGCCCCATTTTATGACTTCTCTTGTCATCGTTGCAAGTGGATCACTGCAATTGTTAAGTTTGTAGTAGGGTTGTTAAGTGAATAGGGCTTCCTCATTGACTTTGCTTATCAGAAGGTTGCAAAAGGTGATCACGTGATTCCCCAGGACATTACAACCGTCGTAAATGTGAAACAGTTGCTAAGCGGCTGAATTTTGATCATGTGACATGAGGATGCTGCAACGGTCATAAGTGGGGGAAATGTTCATAAGTCGCTTTTTCAATGCTGTTGTAACTTCGAACAGTCACTCAATGAACTGCTGTAAATCAAGGACTACCTGTAATTGTAAGCAAAGGAATGGGGTACATAATGAGTCAAGTTAAACTCTATTGTCCTTATTCATCTCTAGCTTCCTCCTTGTTTTGTTTTTTAAAACCCTTTCTACCTTTTAAGGTTTTGTTTATGTGCCTTATTTATCTTTCCTTTTGAAAACTAGCTTCCCCCAACATTACCATCGCCTTCATATTTCGTTTTTATTTTATTTTAAATCCCATAATTCCTTTAGGCCACCACTCTGGCTCCCACTTCCACTACCAGTGCCACTATTTCCTTAGCCAACCCTGATGTCTCCATACTAAACTACCAATCTGCACTCTACCAGCCCTCGGCAGCATCCATGGCCGCGGTGGCTCAGAGGAACGTCCCTCTGCAGACAGGCACGGCGCAGATATGTGCTCGTCCTGACCCTTTCCAGCAAGCCCTTATCGTGTGTCCTCCAGGTTTCCAAGGTAAGAAGGCTTCTGATTCCTTTCTCTTGTTAAATGTTACTATTACAAAAGCGAGGATGGGACATCTGTCTGTAGGAGTCTAAAATTTTACTTGACTGGGGAATCAGTCTTAATTAGAATAGAACTGGAAGGGGGCCTCAGAGATCTTCTAGTCAAACCCCCTGCTCAAGCAGGAGACCCTACTTCATTTCACACAGGGGGCTGTATATATGTTATTTGTTATTACTATCCGTAGGGAACTTTTGTTCAGCTAATCTGAAAAACCACAGTTTCTTCTACAATACAAAATATGTGTTTTTTCATTGACATGTATAGGATTGCACAATGCGTTAGGAAAGTTGAGTTGGCAAGGTGGTCTCAGATGGAAAATTTCTCCATTTGTCAGTATATGAATGCACTGACAGATGATATATACATTATCAATATTCTCAGCTTGGTTATCATATTACCTGACATTTACCAATTTTCTGGGCAATTTTTGGAGATATTTGGGGCTAGAAGAATAAGGAAATAAGACCCTATTTCACTATTTTTGAGCTCCAGTTTCCTTTATATATCTAACTTAGCTGTGGCCAGGAAGCCTGGTTCCCTGTCTCATTTTTATCCAAAGATATTTAAGTTATTTGTAGATATTGATGTCTTAGTGCACCACTGTGCAGCAGACATTTTATCCCTTTTATGTGGCTTTGAAATAACATAAAAGAACTCCAGAGAGAAATCCTCAAAAGTCCCCCGAGTCTTATTTACAAAGGCTACAAAAGGCATTTGACTATTTGGGGGCAAATTTTTTATCCTCAGTGATTTCTTCAGCTCAGAGAGATCCACAGCTGGTAGGACAGCTGAAAGGATGACAGATACCTGAAGTCTTAATTTCTGCCCTGGACTTTAGCAGCCAGTGGCTCTTCCTGTGGAGACAATTGTCTCTTGTTCAGCAGTTGCATAGAGTCAATCTCCACTGGGAACAATTGAAAGATGACTGTGTAACTATTTCCTTAATTTGTCTAGTTATCTAACCTTCTCCTTCTTAATGGCTCAGGGAAGGTAACAACTGTTCCAGACAAATTACACAAAGGAAAAATGCAGCATTACTATTCTTTTCAGAAGCAAATTACAGACCATATTTAATGTATCTTTTAAAACTAAATCCAACGTAGAGGCCAAAAATAGAAAAGACTCAGCGGCTTTTTCATTTGAAGTCCTTTGGAACTGGGGCTTAGAAAGGGAGAGTTGAACTTTCCTTCCCTAAAGCACTGTATTTCAGCTGGAATATGTATCCTGTTCCTCTTTTAAAGCCCCTGATAGAGTTTCTATTAATGTCTTTGAGAAGGGCATGTTGAGAATGTTTGGCTTGACCTCAGTTTTACTTGTAAACTCCCAAGGCCATCTGCAAAACAATTGATAAATGCTGAAAGAGGCATACAACAATGTTGTTGAAATTTTGTGCCAAATTGGAAGCTAGAAAATCCATAAGCTGAACCTCATGGTCTAAGGATTCCTGCCTGATGGTATAAGAACTCTTGCCAAAGGATTCGGACTAGTACACCTCTGTGCTCTATGATTCATCAAACCTTTAGGGTGCCCTCTGTGATGGGCTACAAGTTCCATCCATACAAGCATGACCAATGGTTATATATGAAGTAGTTGTAGTCCTGTATACATGAAGAATGAGAGGTTGGTGCAGGCTGCTTTAAGAAGAGATTCTTCTAGGATTTGTCTTTACATGCTGTTGTGTAGCATACATGTAGCAATAGCAATAGCACTTAGACTTATATACTGCTTCACAATGCTTGACAGCCCTTTCTAAGTAGTTTACAGAGTCAGCATATTGCCCCCAACAATATGGGTCCTTATTTTACCGACCTTGGAAGGATGGAAGGCTGAGTCAACCTTGAGCCGGTGAGACCCAAATTGCCAAACTGCTGGCAGCCAGTGATCAGCAGAAGTAACCTGCAGTACTGCATTCTAACCACTGTGTCACCATGGCTCTTAGAAAGTTAACCATAAATTATATTCCTAATATTTGTTTAGGAAATCTAATGAACATTAAGTTCCACAAGGTCATGTATGTTGCTTCAGAAAAACAAGCACTGGATCTAGGCTACAACTGATAGGCCTGTGACTGTCAGCATATTTTATAATAATATAATTGTTCTATATAATTGAGCAAAATTTTCTTTCTTATACCTAAACAATTGAAGGTAGTCACAAATTAAAATTCAACCCCTGTATTTGATTTCACTTTCCGTGATTCAGAGAAATCATTTATTTTTCATTTACGAAACAATTTCAAACCAGGTAAAACAAAAATTTTAAAATATGCATTATTAAATCAGCACAACGGTACAATCAGTACAATACAACCATTCTCACATCTTAAAGATAAAGCTTAAAACATAGCTTAAAACTTCAGAGTATAGCATGAAACAAAACTTCAATAGCAAAAGGGTGCACATTTAACTAACAGATGACATAAATGGATAATTATTTAACTGTCAGCTGAAATTTTCAGGGTCATAAAAGAGCGTCAGGAATTTGTCTTTTTAAAGAATAATTTTAAAGAGCATTAATAATTTATCTCTTTAAAAATTCTTTTAATGAAATAAAAACTGTTAAGAGAAAATAAAGATAATAAAAAGAATAGTAAAGAAAACAAGAACAAGAAGTGGTAAAGAAAAGATTACAAAGAAGCAACTTTCAATCTTCTTGACCAGGGGTGTCCAACCTTGGCAATTTTAAGACTTGTGGACTTCAAAGCTGGCTGAGGAACTCTGGGAGTTGAAGTCCACAAGTCTTAAAATTGCCAAGGTTGGACACCCCTGTTCTTGACAGTGGTTACAGATATATATTTACTTTGCCCTCTCTTTATAAGGTTGCATCATAATTTCCTTCTTTCCATAAGCTACCCTATCTAATCCTCAAACCCATAAATCACAAGTTTATTTTTGTTAGTCAACCAAAAGTCAATAAGGGGCTTCTAGTCACTAATAAATGCCGTTGTTGAACTTTCTCTATCTAACAGGTTAATTTTGCCATTTCTGTTCTCTTCATCAACCCATTCCTCAGGTGTGGGTATTTCAGAATATTTCCATTTCTGCACATATAATTTCACATACGGTTTCACAACAGTAATCATGTACAAAGTAATCTTCCATGGATCTTTTCTAATTGACTGTCCATTAATCAGTACCAAGAATTTATCTGAAAACTCCCATTACAGCATCTTATTTCCTTGAAGGACCAAAGTACTTTGCAGGTTGAGTTTGAAAATTGGATGCAGGCTTTTGATACATTCCCACTCTAAATGGCCATGTGTAAGATTCACGCTAGCATTTTCTTCAAAGAATGATCAAATTACATTTCAGTTGACTATGACATTTGGACAGGAGCCTCTGTTAAGGAGTTCTGATTAGATTGAGATGCAAGCTACCGATTTGTGCAATTAAGTTTGAGAGATGCTGAAATCTTACTGAACAAATCTAGCTTAATTCAGCATTAGATGGGACATAGTTGGAATTGTACATCAAGTCTCTAACAGCGGTAGGATGAAAAGAAGAATTCAAAAGAAATCGATAAAGTGGAGGTAATAGAAAAGTAAAAATATATTTCAAGTCTAGTTTGCACCTGATGACTTTATGGACAGGTCCAAACAGTTTTCTTGGCAAAGAATTAAAGAGCTTTGCCACTGCTTTTTCCCAGGATGGCATTTCCCCCCCAACTTCCCATCTATTCCACAGTCTTGGAATTCCTTGTAGTTTTCCATCCAAATATTTCTGCTATCTAAAGCTTCTAAATGAGGTCAATCAGATAATGTCACATCCTGAGAGAAATTTGAGGCATCTGAACGTAATGTTGAAGGGATTTGGCACACTTTTTGACAATTACAATGATGATTACTTCTCATCTTCCCAATAACCAGATCTGTCATGGAAGATTACTAAAGACATTGAAAACAGTTAAAGGAAACAGACTAACTAGAAGTGTTAATAAAGACCATAGGGAGAATCCAATAAAAAATGGTTTAAAAAGTCCCTTCCCAATACTGTACAAAACAGACATTTAAAAAAACAAGTAACCTCATTCCAAAAATTTCTTTTGGATAAATAAATGTCTTAGGCAGATACTGAAAATACCATAAAATATGCTATTCTTGACTAGTGAAAGAACAAATGAAAAACCTTATTCAAATGATATATTGGTGTTGAGGGAATGGAAATTTTGCCAAGTGAAAGAGAGCAGTTGACTGATGGAAAAGTTCCACAGTAAACTTGTAAAATTTCTACCCCTGATAAAAGCTTAACTTGTTTGCCTCCAAGCTGTTATGAAAATATTAACATATTCCATAAGTTAACAAATGAGAGAGGAATTATATATAATAAAGCAAAAATATAATATCAACAACGGCAAATAATTTGAAGAAGGATCTTGTTGCTAGGATTATAAAAATTTTGAAATTTATTCAGAAGGGGTATATTAGAAAGCCTAGAACTATGGATACATCCCATCCTAATAGTACATTGTTTAGTCTTCTGTTCAAGTTTGAGACAGGATGTGGCTGTTTTAATGAGCTGCATTTTCTTTCATCTGTCTACTTATTAAAGTTGTTGTCTGTCATGCCCCTGTTGGAATCTGATTCCGAGGGGGAGGCTGAGTAGCTGACAGGGACTGGGAGTGTGGCTCCATTGACTGTGGAAGAAACTGGGGAAGGGCATAGTCCGGCTGAACAGAGCAGGGGAAAGGTAGAGCAAGGCAGAGGGAATTCAGAGGAAGATCCAGGCCCACCACCTCTTCATCCTAGGGCACACAGGAACTGAGAAGGGAGCAAAGGAGTTGCTTGGCTTATGGGGGAGGAAAGGGCCCTGATTCCCTTCATTAGCTGCAGCTGGGAACACGGTGTTTAAAAAGGGAGTTTGCACACAGCAACTTGTTGGGAGCAAATCGTGAGTTATCATTTATTGTCGAGGCTTATCTGTGTTCCTGGCGTCTTCCCAACTGTGTGTGTTTTGTTGTCCTTTGAAGCCTGCAATTCCTTATCCTGCCCTGTCCAGTTAATTGCTGCAGCATTGTTTGTGTGAATTTTTATTTACAGTTTATATGTACTTTGTTTTCGGACTAAATTTCGTCCACTTAAAGACTATTCTTGGGAGAGTTTTTTCTCTAGCCAAAGGCAACTCGACATTGGGGGCAAAATTGGAGGTATTAAAGGGAGTTTTATTTATGTGACTGTGTTGCCTTTGTGCCATGTTCCGGGTCATCATAGTTGTGTGTTTTTCAACCTTACAGAAACTTCAGGTATTGTATTCATATGAAACACCTCTTTTAAATCATTGGAAGTATGCACAGATTTACCTGGTACCATGGAACCAAATTGAATGATTTTTTTCTGAGGCTGTGCTTTTTATTGATAGTGATTGATCTTAAAAACATGCGCATTGTCTAACACTGCTTTTTCTTTTTTCATTATTTTCTTGGCTCAGGATTGCAAACTTCTCCTTCAAAACATGCTGGCTATTCTGTCCGGATGGAGAATGCAGTTCCCATAGTCACTCAGGCTGCTGGGGCTCAGCCCCTTCAGATCCAACCAGGGCTCTTAGCACAGGTAAATAATTAATAATTTTGGATCAAGCAACAACTTTAAGGAACTATACAGAGTTGTCAATAAAGAAGAATGGTTCACGTGTGGAAGTTATTGTGGATTTTGAGAATGTGCATGATGTTACTTGACTTTTTCATATTTTTATTTGTGGAGGGAAGAGCTTCCTGGGATTTTAAGATATTAGACAAACCCTCCACCCCATCTCTATTTTTCCTTAAGCTCCCAGCCCTGCATGACAACCGCTCTTGCAAATACATTTAATTTCCATACTTCTCTTCCGTCAAGTAAGAATGCTCCAGTTACACATGGCTTTATCCAGTGGTGGGATTCAAATTTTTTGACAACCGGGTCTGTGGACGTGGCTTAGTTGGTGGTTGTGGATTGGTGGTCATGTGACTGGGTGGGCATGGCCAACTCGATGTCACTCACATCAAGGGGTGCTTCTCCTCGCCTGGCCTTTCATGACAGTGGGGATGCTGCAATGGTCGTAAGTGTGAAAAATAGTCATAAGTCACTTTTTTCAGTGCCATTGTAACTTTGAATGGTTACTAAATGAACTGTTGTAAACCAAGGATTATCTGTACAAAAATACAAAAAGCTTCTTTTCTTTTAAAAAGCTGCCCTAAATACCAATCATTAGATTAAAAATACCTGCAAGCCAGAGTTACAAACCAGGCAGGGTGCCAGAGTACCTTGAGGAATTAAAATAGTTAAAATGCAATGATAACTATCAGCAGCCAACTCTTGCTCATAAACTGAAACCCTTTAGCAGAGAGGTCATTTAAGCTGCCCAAAAAGAGCACACCCAGGAGAAGCAATCCTTAAATCCATTTGCACTACTTAACGATACCAGCTGGTCTCACTCACCCCACAAGATATCCTAAGGAAATCATCCAGATTTGAGGAAAGGTCACATGCCCCCCACAGAGGCAGTACAAAAATCAGTACCAAGCTTGCATCCTGCCTCTTGGAAGTATACCCCAAAAGGACAGTGCCAGATACCACTAAAGCAGTGAAAGCAGTGCCAGATAGAAAAAGAAACTATGAGGCAGGAAAAAATTCAAACACAATACAAATAATTAAATCACAACAGAAGCTGTTGCTTGTTAAACTAATTACCAGAACAAATAGACACAGGAACTACCCAGATTTCTCAAACTAGTTTCTTTTCAGGAACGCGGATTAATCTTTTTCCTTCCAAACAAAGCTGAAAAGGGAAAATTATGCCATCAATAAACACAGAATTAAAGGTCACCAAACACAGAATTAAACTTTACCAAAAACCAGTTTTAGACCAAAACTCAGAAAGGGTATGTAAACTCATTTTGAATGTCAATCTTTCTAGCTAGCCAAGAAGAAGTATTCCCAAGGGAGTATTTCCTCCTAACAGCAGTGTAAAAAGCTTAAAACAACCCTTCCCCTTTAAGAAAGTATCAAGAAAAAAAAACCTCCTTCGAAAACAGTAAGTCTGGGCATACTGCCAAGAATGTAATAAGGGTGGAAAAAAGCAAAAGGAGATTTCTTCTAACTACAGGTTCTCCAAACTGCTTAGAAAGTTAACAAGGGGTTCTGTAGAACCGGTCAGAATTGGTAGAATCCCACCCCTGGCTTTATCAAACTAGCAAGAACAAAATTGGGCTAGATGATCTATGGAGCCGACTATTTCTGGTAGAAGCCTAGACTAGCAACTGTTATTTCGTAGAACAATTCTCTCAGAATTTGATTAGTAAGCTTTATCAAGAAGTTTAAAATAACAATACCAGAATTATGGCCATCAGACTACTTTCAAGTGAGAAATGTTCTGCAAATTAGGGCAGAAAATTTTGGTTTTTATTTTAATCTCGTGCTTTTTCGGTGTAAAGGAGGAATTTTCTCTCTTTAATGAACAGGGGTGTCAAACTCAAGGCCCAGGGGCTGAATCCAGCTCATGGGGTGCTTAGATCTGGTGCACAGGGCCACCCTGGAAACAGCGAAGGACTGGCCCATAGTGCCTCTGCCAGTGAAAACGGAACTTGGGAGAGCTGCGGTGGCTCTCCTGAACTCCATTTTTTCTAGCAAAGGGTTGCAGGAGGCCATCTCAGCCAAAAACAGAGCTCGGGAGCCCATTTTCTCTGGAGGAGCGTTTGGGCCACCACAGGTGTCCCCAACACGAGTGACGCTGATCTGGCCACACCATCCTGGCCATGTCCACCCTGGCCCCCTGAAGACACAACCCTGATGCAGCCCTCAATTAAATCAAGTTTGACACCCCTGTTAATGAACATGAGGCAGTCTGCATCAATTGATTCTTTTGAAAATAGACATTAGACTTCTTATCCATCTGATAAGCAGCTCTCAAAATTTCCTGGAAAGTTCAGCCACACCCAAAATACCATACTTGCAAGCAGATCCTTTGGGATGCTGGTTATCACATTTATCTGCCTTTTATTTCAAATAAAATTATTTTGAAGCAGTGCACAAAAGTGAATGGGGGTTTATGTCAGGATGATCCAGTGTTCTTGGATACCAGAGGATTTTCAAATACTGCAGATCACTGCCTTGCCTGGAACTCCTTCCAGCTTCAGTTAGTTGCTTTTCTTTTTGTGCTTCCAGGCTCCCCTATCTTGGAAGTCAAACATAAAACATGTGTTTTTTTCTTTTCATTCGACTTAATATGATCTTCTGTCCTCATGAAGGGTCATTGTTAAAGGATACTTGATTATGCATGGAGTCCATCTCTGTGAAAACTTGCCATCCTCCTCCAAGAAGTACATCTGAAGTAGAACTGTCACATTTATAAATCAAATTGAAATATTCCATGAAAAAGGGAAGAAAATAAGTTTTATAAACATCAACATGTAAAATATTTGGACAGAAGTACCTTGTAAAATTAGATTAATTGCCTGGCTCTGTGCATGGGTAATCACACAAATTATACCCAAAACATTTGACAGGCTTCTGAGTTGGCTGCATTACAGCTGGCAATTACAGCAGACAGACTAAAAATACCGAGCTGATGCAAAGACTTAATCACGAACACTTAATCAGATAAAGCAGCAGGGGAGATTGTTCAGGTAGTAATTATAGCATCTGAATCAGGAGTGTGCAACGTCTTTAGGGGTCAGAGGTCACATTTGGGCTTTGAGTGATATATTAGGGGCTGCACTCCAAGAATTAAATGAGGTCAGAATTTTCAGACTCTGGTGTTCTCTCAAGCACCTTTCCCAAAAATTTCCAAAATGCTACCCAGCCCCAATGCTATCCTTTTCAGTCAGTTAGTCATAACTTAAATAGGAATAATTGTAAAAGCAAAAAAAAAAGAAGAAGGCTTTGATTCCTCACAAAGCCAGTCAAACTAAGCCCAGCCCTTCTTGAAGTCTGCCATAATCATCACTTGTAGTCTTAGGACTGTGTTGAGCTCCAAGAACCCTCAACAGAAATCTGCCAAATTCTATTTTTAATGTGGCAAAACAGGTCTATGGAGATTCTCAGTCATCCAGGTCATGATTGTCCCAAAGGTGCTTTTTCAGGAAGCAACTGGACTTTGAAGAGTTTCACTTCTCATCCAAGAAGCTTCTTCAGCTCTAATAGGATAGTGGGAAATGGCAGGATTTATATTCCTTGCAGACAGATGGTCGTTTGCATTCTTTTAGAAAGTCATTGAGGCCACTTGGATGTTTATCTGTATCCTCAAGGCTGTCTGAGTACTGCAAATGTGTGTGGAGCCTTCTTGGCTGCAGGATGTTTTTTACCCTGTGTCCCTTCCCTGTTGAAAACAGACATAGGCTGTTGGGGGATGAGTCTGTGTTGTCTGCATCTCAAATCGAAGCACAAATGGTTCCTGTAGTCTGCAATTTTTCTGGAAATCCATTCATATCCCACATCATTCAAAGGGTGTTCATCCCAAAGTGCATAGCTAAATGTCTATCTCTCAGTCATCCAGGTCATGGTGTCTCAAAGGAGACACCAGGAGGCAATTGGACTTTCTTGTTTTTCTTTGAAGACATTTTGCTTCTCATCCAAGAAGCTTCTTCAGGTCTGACTGGAGGGTGGGGAATGGAAGGCATCCTGCAGCCAAGAAGACTCCACACACATTTGCACTACTCAGGTGACCTTGAGGACACAGATAAATCTCCAAGTGACCTCAACAACTCTTTAAAAGAATGCAAATGACCAGCTGTCTGCAAGGAATATAAATCCTGCCATTCCCCATCATCCAGCCAGAGCTGAAAAACCTTCTTAGATGAGAAGTGAAGCAAAGAAAGTCCAGCTGCCTCCCGAAAAAGCATCTTTGTGGTAGAAGAGGAACTTAACTAAAGACATGATTGCAAATGAATTATATATAAATATAAATGAAATCAAATGTATGTTATCTCTCGGGCCCACTGTGTTTTTTCTATCACACGCACACACAAAGGGCAAATATGGCCGCCTCCTAAGAAAAGTTGCATCTCTATGCATTGTTCTTCCTTCTTTCATTGTGCAGTGGCTCTGGATTCCTGTTGAAACAGCTCTGGTTTGCACAAGGACCCTCATTCATGTCCTCATTATCCTGTGACTTGAATTCTCCCAATTATTTTTGTTCATTTAAAATCTAGGTCTTGAGTTTTCAATCTGTACTCAGAAGAGATTAAATTGCCCAGTCATGGCATATAGGAGGAATCCTAATATGACCTGTCTATATAATCTTACCTACTTCCAACAGTGAGTCATTTGAGCAAGATGACACTTGCAACTGTCTTAAATGACGCCATCAGTACTTACACCTCTGTTAGGTGACAACATCTACAGAACGAATGATGCTTACACAGCAGTGAAGCTGTTCAGCCCTCAGAATGAAGACTCAAATACTGTAACACCGCCAAGTGTTAATTTAGAATTTACCAAAAAAGGAGAAAGCTCGGGACGTTTCACTGGTTTGCTTGGGTCTAATATTTAGCATTTCTAGTTGGCCAAGAATGTTAATTCTTTTTTAATACTTGACACCATACTACTTCCCAAAGATATATCATTTTTCTAAAAAAAAACAAACCCGAAAACACTGATATTTGATTGTATATTTGTTCCTTGAATAGAAGGCATAAAGATGGAATGATATCTCAGTATAGACTTGTAACTAAATTCCATTATAGAGCAAAACTAACCTTGAACTTAGCAGGGTTTACTTTGAATAAACATTACACGCATGAATACCTACAGAAATGTACTTTGAAGAATAGATGCAACCTAATCTAACTTAATTTGGAGACAGACCTACTAAATTCAGTGAATTTATTTGTAAATAAACATTATGTACCATTCAGTGCTCTGTATATACCTACCTTAGAATAAGACCCATTGAACAGAGGTTATTAAGATCATTGCTTAATGTTAGTGATGTTGCCTTCATGCTTGGTTTGAGATAAGAATGATCTAAAGTTAGATTATTTTAATCTCGAGAATATATTTTCATGGTTTATCCCTATTCCTGACTCCTGCTACTAAATTAGCTATGCTGTTGTTAGAATTTTTTGGCTGTTTTGTGCTAATCTGTTCCATGTTGTAGAACAACAATTTTCATCTGAAAACTGCATTACATTGGGAGTATTCTATAGAAGGCTTGCATACCAGTGATGGGTAGCACTATCCTTTCTTTATTTTTTTATCATTCTCTTCTTTCTGAAATTCTCATTTAAAAAAAAAAATCTCTCCATTTTCCTTCCATTACTGTTGGCAGAGACCTAAAATTGTGGAGAATTTTGGATAATAGTTGGGAATACTATCTATGGGTTGTTTGCAGTGAGTGCAGCAAGGCTCATCACTTTGCTGCCAGCTAATGGATGACTGATTTTTGCAGCTCAGGTATAATATTCCTATCATAAGTCAACATCTGCATGTCACCTTCCTGCATTATCCTCCTCTATTCCTTATTTTGATATTTATTAAAATTATTTGCCACCCATCTCGCCCCAAGTCAACTCTTTATTCAGTATTGTGTAAAGGGTTCTTTAAAAACTGATCATCAATAAAGTTTTTTTAGCACAGAACACAATGGATTATAATAGTGAAAGGTATTTTTTGTTCCCATCTATAGCAAGCCTGGCCTAGCGGCACCCAGCAAATATTGCTTCCTCCAGCTTGGCAGCAATTGACCGGGGTAGCTACTCACACCTCAGTCCAGCATGCTACTGTAATCCCAGAGACCATGGCAGGGACTCAACCACTGGCAGACTGGAGGTAAACAGAAAAGAAACCTTGTTCTGTGGGATACTGTTTGCAGGAGCTAAGCATTGTTCAAAGTTGAAGGTTATGGCTATCTCCTCATCATCATGGTCCATGATTTGTCCTATAATTATTGGATATTCTGTTGTTCAGATTTCTCCATGAGTGGTAGATTATCAAATGTCACTCTTGTTGTCTTTTCCTCAGACCTATCATCCTATGTGCATCCTTGATCCTGAGGGGTCTTTCTGTTCTAATGACCTGAAGTTAAAGTAGTTTTCACGCTAGCCCTTTTCCTCTGAACACATTGTCCTTAATTCTTTCAGAAACAACTGATACCAAACATTTCAGTAAGCAGCAGTGAACATTTTTAGCCTTACAAGAAATGGATGGTTGTGATAGTTTATAATAAAAATCAGTTGCCTTAATGGGTTGAGCCTACAAAGACTCAACCCTTTAAATAAGATACAAGAGCTCTTAAATGCAATATAGAATTTAGCATGCTAACTATCTCTACCTAAAATAATAAGGCACCAATGTGGAATATCTTGATAACAGTGTCCAGATATCAGAAAGAGATCAATGATGTTAGAAATGACAAGACAGCAATAAAGATGAAATCAATATGGTGGATATCCTGCTTCAGTATATACTAGGATTGGAGAAAGAACTCTTAAGAATTCACTTGACAACACCTTTAAAAGTCTGGATGTGACATTGGGAAAAGTTATTGCACTAAATATTATTTCAAATGCAGAAGGATTTCATGGGTGTGGGAAGATGGAAAGAAGTGAAAGTTATTTCTAAAATGCTTCTTAGATACATGGTATTGCCATTGATTTCTGAATTTTTGAAATATGCAAATTTCCTTTCTCTTCTTGCAGAAATACACATGCTCACGGTAGCCATTACAATCCCATCATACAACAACCTGCACTTTTAACAAGTCATGTCACCCTTCCAGCAGCCCAGCCTTTAAATGTGGGCGTAGCTCATGTCATGAGGCAACAACCAACCAGCACCACCTCCTCAAGGAAGAGTAAACAGCACCAATCATCAGCAAGGTATGGGTGTGGGACGATGATCCATGTGGGAGAGAGACAAGCAAGCTTTTGTCTGTTCTTCATACAGTCTGTTGATTAAAAAGAGAGGAGAGATCCAGTATGGAGATATTAACCTCAGTCATTTCATTCATTTTCTTTTCACTGAGCAAAGGGTTTTGGAAATTGGGGGGGGGGGGAACCTTTAGATAATCAGAATATGCTAAAAATTTTGAATGAATTCGAAATATCCTGTTTTGACTGTGGAGCAGCTGTTTTAATTTTGAAATGGGCTGTTTCAAAACACTTGGCAAGTGTTTTCAACTCAAAATAACTCTGTTTCAAGTGGGGAATGCTCTTATTTGAGCTCAAAACACCTCCCAAATATTCAGAACAGTCCATTTTGTATTTGGAATAGACAGTTTTAAATTTCAAATGCTTCAGTACAAAACATGTTACACATTCCTTTCATGAGCGATGTTTCCAGGGTAGATGTGGCACTGTTGAATTCCTGCATGTACCTTTTTAAATATGCACAACTCAAATTTGCTCAGGTCAGGCATTATTGTCAGAATGCATAGCACATGAATGCTCGCAATTATCTCCCCTCATTGCCAGTTGACAATGTACAAGAGAAAAGGCTTGCCTGTGCATACTGTATAGGCTTTTTTCTTGCAGGCACTCACACTGAATATCTAATGTCCATGAACCCAATGGCGTTTGAGTGGCATTGGTAATGGGGTGAGCCTTAATTCAACTGATGAGCAGTAACAATACCTGAATGGGTCTAATACCAATGAAGTAATCTTATCATCTTACATTTTGAGATGCACACTGTAAAGTGTGAATAGTGGAAACAAGTCCAGAAGTCAGAATTAAATAATTCACTAGCTGATCTGAGTTTGCTCTAGATCACAGGTGTCAAACTCACTGGGTCACGTAACATTTCACAATATTTCCCCATTCATGGAGCTGGTATGGGCATGGCCTCATGTGACACATTCATCCCGCAGGCCACCAGTTTGACACCCCTGCCCTAGATAATTGGAAAACATTTTAATATACTAAGTTTCTAAGTATCAGTAGTCCATTATTTATCTCCCCATCAATCAGGATGAAGTTCATGGGGAGGAAGAGAGGATAGCTCCTACCCTTGCAGCTTCCCCTATGTGCACCTACACATTAGCCAGAGAAATGATGCTGAAGAAAGGGACTTTCAAGATGTGGGCAAATCAGAGGCAAAGTCTCGGTGATGCGTTCTTTGCCTATCTGTGATACCTACCATCATTCTGGTCAGGGATATTGCTGATTGCAGAATGGATGTTTTAGGAGAAGTCTTCATTCACTGTTTTTCTGGCTCGATTTCCTTTCCAAGTAAGATTCTAGCCCGTAATATAGGTGACATCAGCCTATGAGCAAAGTATCGGATCACATATGAAACCCTCCATCGATATTATAGCATTCTTTCCAACTGGGTGTAGCAGCACTTTGTCAGGGCAAACACTCAAAACATTTGCGGACTGTGCCTCTTGAGAGTGGAATCTAATCAATGTGTCTGTCAAAACATTTCTTTTAACAAATCCTACAATCCTCTCAGTAATAGGAGAAAACATTGAAATAGATCCACATTTTATAAAATGGGGACGCATCCTTAGTTGTTTGCTTCTGGCTGAGGCCAGAGAATCTATAATGAATTTATAACAGTCTCTGTTTAAAACCCATCTGTTTATAAATAACCCTGCTTTCCAGCCTTCTTTCCCCATGTGAAAGGAAGGATAGAGACCGCAGAAGCCTGGTCAACCATTAAAACAGGGAACAGATTCTCCTAGCACATCCTGGCCTGCTAAACTTCCCCCCCTCTCTCCACCACATGCACATGATATTTACTCTGGGAGGTGGGAGATAGGAAGAGGCCCTTGCAGAGTGCGCTGTTCTGTAGCTTGAAATCTGCTTCGCATGATAATACAGTATACAAATGAGTGATGCACTTCTCCGGGAGAAAAGAATGCTCTGTGTCTGTCATTGGTATTCAGCCGGCACCATGAATGCTACTGTTCAATCATTTGTTATGCAAAGGACTCATTGCAGGGTATATGTCCATAATTCCCCTCCCTTTGATAACATTCCAGCTTGCTCTTTGTTTGGCCAATCTGAGCACTCTGACAAAGGCTGGCTGGAGAATACTTTTGCCAGAAGCAAAACTTAGCTTGCTTTTGATTATTGTAGCAGATCACATTGGAACATCAACCCCCACCCCCCACCCCCCCAAACAAAACACAAAGAAAGAAAGAAAGCAATTGTAAAAGTAGGTTGGCTTTTTGGAGAGTAAGTAGTGGGTCCAAGAGGAATTTAGTGCCTTCCCAAATTCTGACCGGCTTTCAGATGTGATCCATACAGACCTGCATTTTAAGTGTTCCAAATGCTTCTGTTCCTAAACAAAATGGCAGCATAAATGGAAGAATTAGAAATATGTAGGATGCAGATCTGCAAGACAAAAAGCTTTTGCTTTTGGTGTGAGTTCCCTCACTGAACCCGTATGAAGTCATACTCCTTTTTTCTGGGCTAGGAAAATACATGTTTTAATTAAGGAATCAGTAACCTTGCATGCTGCCATTAAAAAAAAATTTTTTCTAGCAAACATTTTTCTTTGATGGGTGCAGGTGTTTGGAAGATGCCTTTTAATTTCTTGAAAGGGCTCAGTAGAGGGATAATGCAGCTTTTTTCTATTTTGCTCTAGAATGGCATTATCCTGGTTTACTAAATTAAACTACCAACTCTGATGTAGTACATTGCATGACTCCAACCAATTTTGGCTTAGTCAGTAAAACCATGATTTGAATGTCTAAATCCAGACAGTGTCAAGGATATTAATGAGTTTTCATGGCATCTCACAGTTGTCAGTATTTAGTAACTGTCAGTGGCAGTTCATCTGGAGCTCAGCCTTGGTAACGCTGAGTGACTGGCTCACACAATGTTTTATGGAATAGTTTGTTTAGCGAGTCACAGTTGGCTGGGTTTTCCTATTGCAGGAAGAAATTATACATTTCAGTTTATAAGCCACAATACACTAAATCAAAACCGTTCCCCTTAATTCAAATGTTAGCCTGAGCTCCTTGGAAGAAAAGCAGAATATTGAAACAAATATGTAAAGAATTGAGGAAATGAACAGCCCATTCTTACCATCTCAGAAATATTTGTCCTTTTATCTTCCACACTGCACTGTTTTCCTTCAGCCCAAACAGTACTATTCTTCTATAAGCATCCATTTTCCTATCTCAATAGGTTATTGCATTGAAAGGCTTTGTGGTTAAAGAATTATTGTTGAATTTAAAAGAGTTAGATGTGTCCTGCTGGACAGGGGTTGTGCAGCACAAAGCAAGCTTACACGTAAAGAACAAAATCAGGAAGATAAGGAAGCTCCACCAGAACACAATGAAATAGTAGCCAGTATTTTTGTCATTCTGTGTCTCTCCTACACAGGTAGTCCTCGACTTACAACAGTTCATTTAGTAATAACCATTCAAAGTTACAGCAACACTGAAAAAAGTGATTTACGATCATGTTTCACACTTGTGGCTGTTGCAGCATCTCCCTTGGTCATGTGATCAAAATTCAAGCGCTTGGCAACTGACTCATATTTATGACAGTTGCAGTGCATTGATCCCCTTTTGCGACCTTCTGACAAGGAAAGTCAATGGGGAATCCAGACTCACTTAACAACAATGTTACTAACAACAACTACAATGATTCACTTAACAACTGTGGCAAGAAAGGTCGTAAAATGGGAGCAAAACTCACTTAACAAATGCTTCACTTGGAAACATACATTTTGGGTTCAGTTGTGATCATAAGTTCAGGACCACCTGTATTCTACTTCTCCCTTTCTTTCCCCATTCTCCACAACAGCAACAGGTAACGTTTTTCTATGAAGTGGATCGAGATCCGCAAGAAGTCATATTGAAACAAAGAAAATCTTGTTTTTTGCGTGCATTTAATATTTCTCCCCCCCCCCTCCTGTCACTGTTTTCAGGAATATGTCCAACTTTGAAGTATCTTCTTCTCAAACGATCAGCTCTCCACAGCGGTCTAAGCGAGTAAAGGAGAACACCCCTCCTCGTTGTGCAGTGGTACACAACAGCCCAGCCTGCAGCACCTCTGTCACATGTGGGTGGGGAGATGGACCTTCTAGTACTACAAGGGAACGACAGAGACAAACAATAGTCATCCCTGACACCCCCAGTCCCACAGTCAGTGTTATCACAATCAGTAGTGACACCGATGAAGAAGAGGAACAGAAGCATGCACCTACAAGGTAAACTGATAAGCAGATTTGTTGCTCAGCAGAAATATGTAGGTATGCACTGCTTTAGAGTTATTTATCACTGAACCACTGGCTAATCTTTGTCATGCAGTTGAGCCAATCCATTGATTTTAATTAACACAGCTTCTCTTTTGGTTAGCAATAGCATTTAGCGTTTAGACTTATATACCGATTCCCAGTGCTTTACAGCCCAAGCAGTTCACAGAGTCAACATATTGCCCCAACAATCTGGGTCCTCGTTTTACTGACCTCATTTGGGAACTACAATCTTGTTTCTCCTAGGTTGATCAATCCAATCTACGCATGCTAGATAAGCGATTGTATTTCATGCAGAGAGGCAGCCCAGTAGACTATATGGCATTGGAAAATTATTCCCTGATTATTAGAGATTGATATACAAATTCCACTTTGTAGGAGGTAATTTGGTATTGTTAAATTTCCTGGACAATTTCTGAACTTTTGGAAAATGAACCCAGATCTTTTAAAAATCTAAACCAGGTCCTTAATCTGATTTGTGATAAAGACAAACATGCCAAAGTTAAGAAAAAGATGGCATTTAAATTTAAAAGATTAATTTCAGATTTTATAATGATGATTTGGATATTGCCACAATTGTGTTAACACTTTTAATTAAAAAAGAAAGAAATGTCCTGAAGTCATACTTGGTTTCTGGTAATGACATGGATATAACCATGCAGTTTTCTCCTCCTCCTCCTCCTCCTCCTCCTCCTCCTCCTCCTCCTCCTCCTCCTCCTCCTCCTCCTCCTCCTCCTCCTTTTTTGCAACAACCCAATCTAGACTAAAACCCTAATATTCCCCATAGAACTCTTAGAAAAATTAAACAGCATTAAGGACTCTTGTCCTTAATGCTGTTTAATTTTTCTAAGCCCAGACAAGTTCAAAACTAAGGTTTAAATCAGGCAATATGTAAAAATCAGGTTTAAATCAGGCAACATGTAAAAAATATCTCGTGGTTGATATAACATATAGACATACACATACATAGTTATTTTTAATAACTTTAAGCTGTTAAATATTTCTGAAATGCAAGCCCCCAAGGCAGAAAATAATATATAATAGAAAAATGGAAGTAAAATATTAGAATAAGCTTTTGACTTCAATATACAGCAATCCATCTATATATTAAAATAGTATATTAAAAATAGAGATATAGCGATAAGCATTCTTATATAAAATTTATCCATTATTTATGGCAGCATTCCTAATTCAACATTTCTTAGAAAATAAATCCCACTAAATTTAGTAGGTCCTATCTTCATATAGACAGGTTAGAATAAACTCCAGAGAAACTGCCAATAATAATATGAGTACAGGTGAAATACTTAGAAAAGTCACTTTTTCTTCATTAACAGTGCTATCTTATTCACGTTTATATACCATATTATTTATATCTAATGGAGATAAAGTGTACAAAGGAATCAATCATGCATACATACTAAAGTAAGTTGATGGAGCTGAGAATTTGTCCCTGAATAAGTAGGCACAGGAACAAGTTAATTATGCTTTAATCCATCATTTTACCTATACATTTTAATCAATAAACATTTTATAGATAATCAATTCTCATGATTTGGAAAACAGTAGGGAAAGAAGTCTTCATGTAATAAAGACAGCCTTATGTTCTAGTCTAACATAGTAAAAGTGTGCCACCTAATGGAGAAAATTCTTGAATGTATTGTACAACTGAAGAATATTTTTTATTTTGAGTGGGCATAATTCAGAGTTCACTTGTTGATCAATAAATTGATGATCAAATTCCAGGTATGTGTTTTATAAATACAAATTCTTTATTAAGATTAGGTTTCTGGGATTGTGTCCCGAGGCATTCAAAGCAAATCACAACAATATCAAAATGCTGATATGTATGATATGTTTATAACACAAAGGCCACCATTCCATTCTAGTGCCCAATGTCTGATGCAGGGACATTAAGTGGGACGTTGTGTAATGATGATATAATTCTGCCATCATTTGCTCCATATAGTATTATAGTTTCCCCTTAGTAGCATAATATTGTGGAAATATGGCTGCTCAGAAAGGCCTTTAAGAATGAATGAGACCACACTATCTCAAAATGCTGGTGTGTCAGAATCAGTGAATGTAATTGTATTAATTGATTTTGATTTTTATTCTTATATTTATACTGTAAGGTTCTCTGGAAATGGAGTCTCATATAGGCTGTAGTGGTAAATAATATTTGGAACATACCCCCCCGCCGCTTTTTTTTTTTTAGGTCTGGAAGCCCTCTTTTTATTTTTAAAGTATTTTGGTTTCCAAGGACTATAGAGATCCAAGTGATGCAATGATATGGTGTTTTGTAATTTTCAAAGGTGGCAGTTGAAGAGTTTATAAGGATGGAAATTGGTATGGTCTTGCTTTTCAAAGGTTTAACAAATCCCTTTCCACTCAGGGATGGTATTCAGAGGGTTTTGACCAGTTCTGGAGAACTGGTAGCGGAAATTTTGAGTAGTTCGGAGAACAGCAAATACCACCTCTGACTGGAGATTTTACAGTATCCTTCCCCTGCCATGTCCACCAAGCCATGCCCACAGAACCAGTAGTAAAAAAAATTTGAATCCCACCACTGTTTCCATTCTACTTCTGCAAAACAGCAATGAAAAAACAGATTTATGCCAGCTCAATCTGGTCGTGCTCCAAAGGTTCTAGATGGAGGCCAGAGGGTTACATGCTGGCTGTGAGGCTGTGGTTGCTGAGGTTCAGAAACATTGCTTTAAAGCACTTGTTCAAAGATTCATTCCCTACATTAGCTAATAGCAGAAGAAGCTGACACAAATCTTTTAGAAAGAGGAGGAACAAATATAAAGTTTTAGGGTGCAGAAAAATCAGTAAATATTTGTGTAAGATGAGAGTTTCCATTTTAATATTTCCTTAGAGAAATATAATAGAATGCAAAGTTTACAGAGTTCTGAAAACCAGAACCATTACTTCTATTATCTCAGTGCTGGTCATTATGTGTTTCTAAATCCTAAAATTATATATAATTATATAGCTCAGCCTGGAAGGCTTCTCTGAGTGGCTAATAAATAAAATTCAGGTCAGATGACAATGGAAAAAAGACAGAATAGTAGAACAATGAAAATAAATATTAAGTACCTAAACAAAAATAAAGAAGAGAGGTATGTTCCATGCTTTCCCCAAAAACAGAATTCCTGAAAGTCTTTGGAGAAGCCATTATTGCTGAACTAATAACAGCATTTTTGTTATGGTTCATTTTAAAAATATTTTATTTAGCTTTGGTTTGGTTTTGTTTTTAAATTTTGAAGTAGCATGTTTTAAGTCCAACCACTGCAGTATTCTTTGTGGTTTAGCTTGTGTGAAGCCAGATTGCCCCTTGTGTCAAGCTCTGACTTAAAAACATTGTTTGGTGACTGAATCACAAGTAATTTGTTTGGGGTATATAACTAAACTTTAAAATAATAGGGATAAAAACTATTCAGCAAAGAGTACCTCGTTCCTTGGACAATCATTATTTTTTTTTAAAAAAACTTTAAAATACATAGACATACATATTCATACATATTTATTTCTATCACATACATGTAACTGAAAACATTAAGAAAAAGCTTTAAAAAGAAAAACTAGAGTGTCCACCAACATATTTAATTGCTGAGTTCCTTATCCACAATTATTGTCAGCATTCTATAAAAATTACTATTGCCATAACAACATAATGCAACCAGGAAAACATTGCTTGGATTTCCTGTAATCAAGGCCAGAATCCATTTGGGAGTGGAGCCATTTGAGCACGGAGCCATTTGAGCACATTTTTGCAAAGCTGACCCTCCTCAAAGCTAAATCAAAATAAGGAGGATGAGGAAAAGCCTGAATGATATCAGACACCAAAGCAGTGGGAGTCTCACCTAGTATTGATGCATTTTATTCGATAGACTAGTAGCATAGCTTGAGATTTGTTGGTGTTAACTATTTTGAACTCCTTTGATTTAATTACCAACAGATCCAGGTGAATAGCATCTCGGTGTTCATGTTAATGATGAATTCATGCTAGACTTCATGCTTTCATCAAAAGAGATTGCACAAATTGGGACCTCCAAGAGCTCTGGTGTGGCCCTTGGAGCTCCTTCAAAAGTTGTCAGCAAATGGTAGTTTTGAGAGACTATAAGACAAAGTGAATGTGAATCTTGAGACAGAAATAACCGAAGAACAGACTTGGGAGTCTTCTAATCCAACCTCTGCCCAAGCAGGAGATCCTATCATTTCAGACAAATTTGTCCAATCTCTTCCTAAAACCCTCCAGTGATGGAGCACTCACAACTTCTGAAAGGAAGCCTTTTTACTTGTCATGCCCCTGTCGGAATCTGGTTCTTCTGGTTCTAAGGGGGAGGCCGAGCCGCTGAGAGGGAGTGGGAGTGTGGCTCCATTGACTGTGGAAGAAACTGGGGAAGGGCACAGTCCAGCTGTGCAGAGCAGGGGAGAGGTAGAGCAAGGCAGGGAGAATTCAGAGGAAAACCCAGGTCCACCCCCTCTTCATCCTAGGGCACGCAGGGAGGAACAGAGAAGGGAGCAATGTGAGTTGCATGGCTTATGGGGGAAGAAAGGGCCCTGATTTCCTTTGTTAGCTGCAGCTAGGAATGTAGTGTTTAAAAAGGGAAGCTACACACAGCAAAGTTGTTGGGAGCAAATTGTGAATTATCTGGTATCTTTGAAGCTTATCTGTGTTCCTGGCATCACAAAACAACTGTATGTGTTTTGCTGTGCTTTCAAGTTTGCAGTTCCTTCTTCTGCCCTATCAAGTTAATTACTGCAGCATGGTTTGTTTGGATTTTTAGTTACAGTTTGTATGTTTCGGACTGAATTTCCTCCACTTAAAGGCTGTTCCTGGGAGAGTTTTTCTCCAGCCGAAGGTAACCTGGACATTAGGGGCAAAGTTGGAGATAATAAAGGGACTCTTCTTGCTTATTTGACTGTGTTGCCTTTGTGCCATGCCCCGGGTCATCACACTACTGATTGTTCACACTGTCAGGAAATTTATCCTTGTTTCTATGTTGGTTCCATCCTTGATTAGTTTCCATCAATTTTTCTTGTTCTGCCATCAGGTGCTTTGGAGAATAGGTTGACCCCTCTTCCTTTTAGTGAGATAAGATGAAAGAAAGGGAGGACTAATTACATTAATTATTGGGATTTAAAGAGCCTTTGAGGGAGATACAACTGCTCAGTATATACCAAAGCACCCAGTGCAACAGCCAAGGTTAAGGGACACACAGTAGGCTTCCTGTCACACCAACGCCATCTCCTCTATCACTCTGCAGCCACATCTTAACATCCAAGACCTGAAATAATCAGCTTAACAGAAGAGCTGGGCCTGCCATTTGTGTTGATGATCTAGTGCAGGGCTGTCAAACTCCCAGCCCATGGGCTGGATGTGTCAAGTGCTGGTGACACCCACACCCAGTTTAGCGAAAGGGGGGAAAGTCTCAATAACTCACGTGACACCGCCATAATGACGTGAGTTTAACACCCCTGACCTAGTGGAATGGCAGATCTTACCACTGTGCTTCATATTTTTTAAGGTTGTACTATTGAGAACATGACTGTTCTAATGTAGTTTCTGGTTCTGGGTTTAAAATGAAGGGTTTTCTTTTTTCTCCTTTATATATAATACTTAACACTTTTTTAAATTAGTAAAATATCAAAACTAAAAAAGTGTTTTCTCCCTTTAGGGTTAAAAAAAAATGATATATTATGCCCCACAGTAAAGACAAGTAGAAATGGTTGCATTGATTCTTTTATCCAAAGAAGAGAATATATATAATATATCTAACCTTGTTTCTAATCTGAAATTGCTTCTGGATTTTGTGCTTGCAATGAAAAAAAATGAAACTTTGTTTTTGTTTTTGTAACTAGATAGGCTTATTGTTATAGAAATGGCTTGTACATACTGTTGTGTAAAATCAAAAAGTTTTCGTTGTAATGTTATCTTCTACTGTGCTAAAGAGAGTTGGAAGGTTTTTTTAAAATTTTCCATTACTTTTTAGTCTTCCGTTACTTTTTTTTTCTTTGTATTTTATACTTTGATAAACTAATAAAAAATCTGAAAAAAGAGAACTTGACTGTGCTTTAACCTGTCACCAGATAGGAATGTCTTACATAAAGATTTCATTTTATTTTACAGCTCACTGTCTAAGCAAAGAAAAAATGTCATCAGCTGTGTAACTGTGCACGATTCCCCATATTCTGATTCCTCCGGCAACAACAGCCCATACGCAATGCAACATCGTGGAGGAAACAATAATGGAAACAATTATGACACAAAGGGTGCACCAGAGTCACACTGTAATGGCAATCCTCGGACGATCATTGTACCACCGCTGAAAACCCAAGCCAGTGAAATCTTAGTAGAATGTGATAGCTTGGTACCAGGTAAGTTGGCTGCATATCTTCAAGGAATAAAACCCCTTAAATTAAAGGTGGACAATGGTTGTGGTTAGCATGCCATGTTTGGAGGGAAGAGTCGTAGAGTGGTGGCAAAATCAGAACTTCTTTAGGAAGCTTCTATCCATGTTACTTTTCTTTACCATTCTTGTGACCATGGGGGAGGACTGGAAGAGAGGCAGAAATGGGTGATAGGTGGATAAATGTGCCCCAAACTGTCCATGGTGGGTTTGCCTTTAATAGAACCTCCCCATGATTTTTGTGTTCGGCTTGTTTTTTTTTAATAAACTAAAAAAAATGCAACCAGAAATAACAGTTCCTTGGTATATTTTGTGTCAGCAGGGTAGCTCATATGATTTGGTCATCTCATATGATTTGGCCATTTCTGGTGATGTATTGTCAGCCTTTTGGGGATAAATAATTCCAGTGGGAAATTGATATACACATAGAGCCTCCATGTCTCCCACCCCACCTCATTGGTATTTATAATTCTCTAGTAGTTCCTTTATGCTCTGTCAGACTCAATCATAAGTAGCCCATTAACTGTGAAAAGTAGCCTCTAGAAAGGAGAGAGAGAGAAGGAAGGGTGGGAGGGAGGGAGGGAGAGAGGGATGATTTTCCAAAAGCCAACATGGAAGAGTTCCAGATGCAAACAGTTTTTTGAGGGGAAACCTACTTCCTTGGAATTTAGCAGAAGTGATGATGACACCTTCCTCCTTTTTTCCATGCTAAGGACCACATTTGATGTCTGAAAAACATGCTGAATTTGCATTCCTCCAAATAGGGTAGGCCAGGATACAGATTCGGGAGAAGCCAGAACAAAAACTATTTTTAAAAAATATAATCTTAATTATGGTAAATTAAAATGAATAAAGGAGAGTGGTGTAATGATTAAGGCATGAGACTAGAAAGAGGAGGCCATAATTTACTTATCGATCCTAGGCACAAAACCAAATGGGATATTGGGCCAATCTCTCTCTCCTTCCTTCCCCTCCTCCCCTTCACCGACTCAAAGGCACAAAACAGAAACTCCTAAATGCATTTTTAATATAATCCCTTCCCATGCATCCAAGGATGCATTTTGTCCTTCTGCTACATTCAAGAAAACACAAAAGTTCTTACCCACTTTTGGCTCATTCCTGGGGGGGTCTTCAGAGATGCATGTAGCTTTGTAAATGCATGTTGTACATTCCTTCCAGACTACTCACACTTTATGGGTTAAATGCGAATAAAGCAAGGTGTAACTTGACCAAGAAGGTGCTTGGCATTAATCTGGGTGCCAGTTTTAAGTCTGAAAGCTGCTGAAGTTTATAGACCTGGATGCAATAATCTATGTTTTTTTCCCCTCTAGTCACTACCAGTCACCACTCATCTTCCTGTAAGTCAAAGTCCTCTAGCATTGTGACCTCCACCAGTGGTCACTCTTCAGGGAGCTCATCTGGAGCCATTGCTTACAGGCAGCAGCGGCCAGGACCACACTTCCAGCAGCAGCAACCTCTTAATCTCAGCCAGGTAAGCCTGGGATAAATGAGCCCACAAAGCCTTGTAATAACCTCTGGACGTTACAATCCAGGCAAAGCAGCTTAATTCCATAGAGATCCATTTACTCAACTGATTACTCAAAATTAGCTATGTCCACCTGACCTCAACCATGGATTGAAGGTTAGAAAGGAGAGAGGTAGATGGAGTAGGAAGGAAACTTTTCATTCAAGAGAAATGAGCTATGGGTCTCAATAACTGAGTTATTGAACATACTAAGCCAAGTAGTGATTTGCTCCTGGTTGGATGTGGTTTGTACACCATAACTTCTGTGTTCTTGGTTTGGATTATGCCAGAACAAAGGCAGAATGTGAATGCAAGTGACTATGTACATGCATTTTAGAGTTGGTGAATCTAAAAGAAAATCACATTGCGGTAGCTTAAGCTACAGTAGCAGAAACTAATCACAGAAAACCGGAATAAAGGAGTATTCTTCCACCCTTTATTCTATTCCTCTTCTTTCCCCTTTCTCTGCATTCAGTTATAAATTTTAAATTTCCTGGATCAAGGATTTCTTTACTTGTTCAGTAAAGTACTCTTGCACTTGTATCAGTTATACAACAACAAAAACTATACAATATCGGTTTTCTCATATTGTTAATGGAATAGTGTGGCATTTGTAGGAACTTGGTAGGCAAACTGGTATCCTTAATCCAGTGAGTTTTCTCCTTCAGCTGCTTTTTAAAAATAATTTTTCCTAATTAGAATCAAACATGGAAAGAAGCTTGATAGGGAGAGGGGCATCTACAGAGAAAAATTACTCTTTTAAGCATCCTTTGCCTGGCAATCTCTGTCTTCCTGTAGTCAGGCCCATGAAATTAACCCATGATTTTTAGGGGAATGTATGTTTGCTGACTAGTCTACTAGAAAGCTAGAAAAGGCGGCTGTGTATACCTGTTTCCATTGCTCTCAGTTTCTTGATTTTGTTAAGCTATCCTTTTGGGGTTCCTCACCTCCACCACCCCCATTTCTCATTTTTGAAAGTCTGTCAAATTTGGGAATGTGAAGATTCTTTCAAAATAATGTTCATATTAAAATTGTATGAATGGAAGCATATTCCTCCAAGGAAGGTTTTTTTTTTAATGTTGGCATTCCATATAGTTATTACAATGTTTACTGATACATTATTATTATTATTTTTAGAATATTTGATTTTTGTACATTGGCTAAATTCGCCCCCTCCCCCTTGAAAATATCATCCTCTCATCTTGGCCATAATGTTTGCCTTTTACTCCACATCTTTCCACTCATGCTTAGCATATACTGCAGAGTATGGGAAGTGACAGAAATGCAAGACAATCCGTGTTGCTCGGTTCTTCCCCTAACAAACACTTGTAACCATGAGGGCTGAAAGTTCCAAAGGACAATGTTACAGGTGTGATGTCTGCCTTGCATGCAGCTTTATTCCTCTCTAGCATTCATCTCCATTGTTCTGTGATGCATTTCCTGCCACTCTAGGATTTACCTCTATCTGCTCCTGTGAGGCACTTTTTGGTGTGTGTGTGTGTGTGTGTGTGTGTGTGTTCTCAATGATGGCTTGTATAGCATTTTAACTGCATTTTTTCATTAAACTACATGAAACAGACAAAGGGGGACCACCAACTCTTACCATCAATTGCTCCTTTCTTTTGTGCAGGCGCAGCAACACATTGCAACCGGGAGCCATCGACGGCAACAGGCTTACATCACTCCAACAATTGCTCAGGCACCATATTCCTTCCCACACAACAGTCCTAGCCATGGCACAGTCCATCCTCATTTGGCTGCAGCTGCCGCCGCCCATCTTCCAACTCAACCTCATCTATACACGTATACAGCACCTGCAGCTCTGGGTTCCACAGGCACCGTAGCCCACTTAGTGGCTTCCCAGGGCTCAGCTCGACACACCGTACAGCACACTACTTATCCAGCCAGCATTGTCCACCAAGTTCCAGTCAGCATGGGCCCACGTGTCCTTCCATCACCCACAATCCACCCAAGTCAGTATCAAGCTCAGTTTGCCCATCAAACCTATATAAGTGCATCTCCAGCCTCCGTCTACACTGGATATCCCTTAAGTCCTACGAAGATCAACCAATACCCGTATATCTAAACACTGGAATGAGGAAGACAAAAAGACATTTTCAGCACACATTGAGAGGAACACGGCTGCTTTTATACTGAAGAATGTCACAGGCAAATGAACAATGCAAACGGGAGGCTCCGACAAAACTTGAACAAAGGAGACTTTAAGGAGGAAAGCAGACAAAAGAAGACGAGACACGTCCTACACTTTTATTTAAAAAAAGAAAGAAAAGAAAGAAAAAAAGCTAAAAAGAATGAAAAATAAAAATACAAAAAAATAATAATAATATTCTGCACCAAACCACATAGTGGGAGAAACAGAAGGACCACTGTTGTCTGGTCCTGTTTTGGATAATTTCACCAAGAGACTTTTACAGATTATTTTCATCTGATTACAGGAGACTCCGTTTAGGAATTTGTTGCTCAAATCTTCTAATACAAAGTTTCATAGGTGTTTGGGTATATTTTTTTTAATTAAACAAAGAAGCATACAAATTAGGGATTTATCCAGAATTTCAAAAGGGTTATGACTTTGTCTTTGCATTGGTTGCTGTAACCCAAAATAAAAACAAAACACAATGAAAAGTGTGATGTGTTTTCTGTTGGTAATAGAATGAGCAAAAGCCGAGAGCTGTTTTGGATTATTCCAGCTCTCCCAATAAGTCTAGAAGCACTAGAAACTTGGAAGGATAGAAAAACACTGAGCAGAAAACACTATTTGATAAAATCAAAGGTTGTGCTGAATATTTGTTCTTACTCTGAGCATCCTGGATAAATCCCTTTTCTTCAAGAAAAAGTCTTTAATAATGTATGATAGAATCTCAACTTCCTTACTTGAAAATACTTTTTTTCCCCTTTATTTCTCTGGATAACCCTTCATCATTTGCAGTCCAATCCTAACATTGACTGCTCTGGCTGATAGCTACTTTGGTCACCATTTCACAAAGCACAACAGTGTGTGCTGTTGCTGTTGGAATGTAACAGCAGTACTGGGAGCAGGTACCACAATCTCAAATGTTTAGGATTGGGTTGTTAGTGTAGGAGTAGAAGTTCTAGCTGTCCCTTGGTAGAATGTAGCACTATACATCCATACAGCCGTTTTCTACTTTGTGTTAAGCTCCAGTGATACCAATAGACTGACTATTCCTCAATGTTATTGCACAAAAAAAGTGATATAACATAGGCATGTAACAAATGTGATTGTCCAGGTATATCTGTGTCTGCGTGTGTGAGTGTGTGCGCAAGGGCGCGCTGATGCTGCCTTTTCTTGTGGTGTGGTCCTCAGCACAGCCATTTTACACTGTCACAGTCTTAGTTTTACATCATTCCCTTGTAGTGCCTTACCAAACTACAGTTGCAGTTTTAAGGGTTTACTTCCACTGGTACGCCTAGAAATAGACTGAGGCTGGTTCAAATTTAAACTCAGCTCCTTTTTTCTCCTCCTCTTCTTTTTCCTTATGTTTGATTGCTTTCCTTTTTCCCCCTAGACTTTTGAAAACAAAAATGCAATGTCATTCTTGGGTAACTTGCAAGGGCCAAATGAAGGCTGCTGGGAGTTTGTTGGAATAGAACAATCAGTGGACCTAAGAAAGTGTGTTGTTTTTTTCGCGGGGTGGGTGGGGTAGATATGAGGTGTCTGGATGAATTCTTAGCCCCTAAAGTATCTTTCCAAGGAATTCCATTTTATCAGTTGTGTTATTAGTTGAATTTCCTTCCAGGATGCACAATTCTCCATAACATTTTGCAAGTTCATATATTTATTAATGTATGAATAGAAAAAGGGGTGGGGGAGGTGCCCAGGCCTGCTTTGGATTAGTAATACATAGTACCTCATGTTCAATTGTTATGTCTAACTGGGGGTATAAGGGCAGTGACTTGGAACGAACTTTATATATTTTCACTTGAATGGTTTCAGACATCTGTGAATAAGATGTATTCTTTCTAGAACATCAGACTTAGATTGTGCCAAAAGATGGTTTGGTTTGGTTTGGCTTTCTTCTGTTGCACTGGAGCTTCATGATGTGGACTTGGAATGGACTCTACTACGTTTGTAGCAGGTCTGACTCTAGTTCCTTAGATAGAGTTTGATCGTATCTAAACAACATGTTCTGCATTTAGGAGCTAGCTTGGAGATGCCACCATAACTGTTAATGGTTTTGATCAGCTTCCCCCAATTGATGTTCCCTAACCAGATGTACATAAATCTCACAATATCTGATTGGCTGTGCTAATTTGGAATTCTCCAAGATATCTAGAACTGGATGGGGAAAGATGTTTTTATCAGGTGCTTTTTTCGCTTTGTCCCATTTTGTTCTTACTGTGCTTTTCTTTTTCTTAAAAGTAATAATCATCATAACAATGTTAACGATAGCTCATCAGACTCTGTATCTTCCATAATAAATTTGTATTTCCCACCCCCCTTTGGTATATTCTTTTTCAGAAGGATTCCAAAGAGAAGTGTTTGTACAATAAAATAATAACAATGAAAGAATTAGTAGATATTTTATGGTGACATCACTAGATTTTTCTCTTGTGTAAGTCTTTACTGCCCCCCCCATGATGTTTTACTTGTATTATTGGTTTGAAGTTGATTGTGAAAAAGGCTGTCTGCCTTTATAGACAGTCAGCATGGCTTCTAAGCCAAGGCTACCAGATCTGGGGCTGCACAAATTTGAAATTATATGGGAAAAAGGTAATGGAGTTATCTTTTATCTCTTTGCTGTTCTCTAGTGATCATCAGACTTTTTGCAATCCGGATCTGGTAGTCTCCAAGTAGCAGAGATACCTGTTTGGGGATGGCGAAGGGAGAAACGTCAAGAAATCAGTATGGCGGCTGTAACAATATGTTCAAAGCCCCTCTTTTTTTCTTTTTCTTTTTTGTGGCGACGCATGTAAAGACTGAGCTTTGATTATGGGGATGCCATCTTGTGTTTTTTTTGTTTTAAACTTCTGTGGACACCCCTGCTAAGAAGTGTCCCAATTTTTCTGGCTTCAGAAAAGAAGTGCTTCGGCAATAGGATAAGATGTTGGGTTAAGGCAAGTCAGTTAGTTGAGAGATGAGGGAGGGATCTTAAGAGGTGGTAAAGATAAAAAGCTTGCTCGTGAGGGGAGTTGAGAAGAAAGACAAGCACAGTTGTCATATCTGGAAGTGGGCACACTTGCTTCACTAGCAGGAAGAAAGGACTCCTACCCCCAATACTAAGGTGGAAATTTTTCTGAAGTAAATTATTGGAAGCAAAACACGCTTCTTTTCAGCTATTTAGAAACTGAACCTCATTTTATTTTGAATGTTTAGTATCTCTCTGCTCCTAAGTATAGTAATGTAAAGGCATCTGCCTTTTTGAAGAGAATATCTTCTTCTGCTGCCCCAATGAAGAAATTCCTCACCAGCAGCTGGGTCTTAATAGAATAGTATATATTCCTCTTTTTCTGTCCAGATTCAAGCACCAACTGCTTATATCTTTGAGAGGAAAGATCTTACCATTCAATCCTTGTTGTTGTATTACTAATTTTAATATGTTATAATTATATTTAAATTTTTGCTTTAATTGCACTTGCATTTCTGTATACTCTTGTTGTCAATGTTCTCTTACTAAGGTATTCGTTGTCAAGGAAGGAAGGCTTTTTTTTCTGTGTTACTAGCATCAGCATGTTTATCCCTCATGTAGGTTTTGGAAGGAAGGGGAGACAGGAACTTGGAAAGAACAAGATATTAATAAATCTTCTCAATATGTGAATAAGGTATGGTGAGTCCTGGGCTTATATATTTACCTATCTTCCTCCAATTCCTTCCTCTTAGCAAGAAACAATTTAAAAAGTACTCCATATCTGTTTTAAGTAAATACAGTTCCATGAATCTGAATCCATAATTGGAATCTAATTTGTTTCCTATTAATATAGTTTAAAAATATTAGCTGGAGACTAAATACATCACAGTTCTCCCTCATGTCCAAAGTATCGTTCCTTAAGATTGAATATTGTAGGAAACTCTGATTATTTTAATAATGTTGTAGAACAAAAACATTTCTAGTCTCTAGTGTGTAGAAGAAGATTAGAGGGAAATAAGTCCACATTTGCTTAGGCTTATTTACATAGGAGGAAAAGGTGGTTACATGTCATATTGTAGTTTTTATACAATGGCATATCTCTGCAGTTTCCAGATACTTTCTTATTATATTTTTACTTTTCCAGAAGTCTGCCTTTTAAGGCACAAGCCCAACAATTGCTGGCTTAAAAATTGATTTAAGAAGAATGGTAAGATCCTAGTACAAATCTTACAGTGTAGGAGTTGATGAATGAGTTCACACAACTCCCTAAGTCAAAACCAAACAAATCCAAATATAATTTAGCATTTTCTGCAGTTCTGTTTACTGGGTTTGTAAAGAATGGTTTATGTACAAAGTAGTTGCACATTGTAAAAACCCAATCAGTTGATGCTCCTACAAATCATTATTCGGTGAGTGAACCCAAATGCTATTTGATGAATTCCTTTGAAACAGAAATATTACAGAGTTAAAGTCTTCACAATCTTAAAATGAACTCAAGATACAAATACTTGTAGTTAGGTTTCCCAATTTGGAAGTGCAATAGTTGGGGATTTCTATCAACAAAAAGAAATGAAATTCAAGAATCCAGCTAAAGAAAATCCTAGTAACTGATGTTGGCTACTCAAATTTGAATTACCCAGAGATTCAGTCTAAATTTTGGTATGTTCTCTCTTGTAGCAGATCTCAAAATTGTTTCCATTTCCTCCTCAAACTCTTTTATGTTTGGAATTATTGTACGAGTCACCTTACAGCAAGTTGGGTGGAAAACAAATTTAATAAATAAAGTAATAATACATTACAAACTTGCAAATTACTTAGGATGGAGACCCCTTCTGGTTCCATAATGTGATTTTATGTGTTAAATTAAAAGTCTTCCTTTTCTTTATTTGTAAACTCTCATTATTTATCTTCTAGTCTGCAATATTTGAGCATAACATTTATATAGATAAATAAATGATTAGCTATTTAACTTCTGGCAGGAAAGCTTTGAAGAGGTGGTTTTAATGACTGGCAAAGTTTCATTTAAATATTTTAGTTGGTTTTTTTATTAATGCGCGCAAAAAAGTTCCCCTTTTTTGTTACAATTTATAATTATTCTTAGAAAGGAACATGGAGAGAGAGAGAAAACATGAATGGCACTAGAAAAAGAAAACTCCTGCACAATTTGGGACAAGTGAAATAAAAAGGTAATAAAATAAGCATACAGGGAGAACTTTATATTAGTCTTCTGCAACCCTGGTCCCTTCCCATTGGATTGGGACTGCAATGTAAAGATTTCTCCTTCGTTAGGATAGAAATAATACAGTTTCTTACATAGATTGCAGTTCTAAAACAATTGATGATTCCAGAATGTGAAAAGAGAGTACATTTTTTTAATAGAGGAAGAAGATGAAATTCCATTTTTTTCAGTCTACGAAAATATAAATTTAATAAAGCACTACAATGGAAAAGAATGAAAGCTTATATTTACTTAATAGAAGACCACAATGTCAACTGCAAGCATACCTAGTCCAGTGTTGATATATAACCAATAATCCAGATTCTAATTCATGGGAATTGTTATCAGATAGAAGGCACTAATTTGAGGAAGCCTGGCATAGCATGTGACTGGCATTGTACAGGCCAAACACAAACTTGTGTGGTCTGTGTCTGATTATAATTTTCAAGGGGACACCGATTATAATTTTCAAGGGGACTATATAACCTTTTGACTTCTTTTTCCTGAATCAATGAATGAAGCTAATTAAATAGTGAAATAAGATATAAGTGATAACATCAAGTTATCTGGATAGCTACAAAGAAATCTAAAGCTGCAATTTAATAAATCTTGATGTCAGAGATTGATAATTGAATTGAAGGTGACTTTCTGTTCAGTAAATATGCCAGCATCGCATTGCAAAATTGTTGCAGCATCTCAGAAGAAATGGATTATAGCAGCCTTTAAATGCTATGTTAGCATAGAGAAACACTAGAGCAGTGAACTTGGCAACTTTAAGATGTGTGGATTTCAATCCCCTGGGAGTTAAAGTCTACACAACTTAAAATTGCCAAGTTCGAAAAAACAGTGCACCAGTCTTTCAAAGTGGGTGGAGATAACCAGATATAATAGTATCTTCCCTTAAATTTTAAATTTTTTTTTCTCTCTCTCTCTGTATGTGTGTGTATGCATGTTGTGTTTTCTGATACTATTAATGTTAAATCTGAGCGCTGGTATGTAATGCATGAGCTATTTGAATAAGAAGTAAAGGAATGACAGATTTCCTAGTCACCTAGATTTTATCAACAATATACCACCAATTCATAAGAAATAGCTTCAGTTTCATAAATCTGGCACCACCACATTTAAAACATTCCAAACCCGATATTTATTTATTTTTAATACTTGTTCCAGATACTAGTTTAATAAAAAAGTATTACTTTTGCCAATTATTTTTTCCTTCACAGTCTAACATAGCCATACCTCAAAATCTGGCTTGATAGGTAAAATGATTTAGTAACACGAAGGAAAATTAAAACCTCATTCCTCTCTTCAGTCAAATGAAATTTCAAACAAGACCAGTGTTACAAGAACTAAATTGTGCTTCCGCTTGCTAAAGAATTCGTTCAAAATGTGGGGGTCAATGGCATAATATAAGAGGCTGTATTTTTTTTTCCTTATGCTTCATTTTGGTTTTCATATATATTGCTTTGTAGAATTCAGTCATACTATCTGCTGCTGTTCTAAATTTTAGTCAAGGTTTGAAGGAGAGAAAACTCTGCTTCTTGTATTATGAATAACATTTTATTATCTGTGACAGCAGTACAAATTTATTAAACGGACCATCAGGAATACTGTGCAAATTCCTTTTGTTTCCATAAAATGCCACTTCCATGTTTTAGTACTAATCAGGGTCCAGGTTGGACACAGTATGGAAAATAAGGCTAAATGCAGAAAATCAATTTAAAAAAAACCTTTGCCACCAGCTTCCAAAATGTGAGGTATCTAGTGCTGAGGATTATATCCTATGTCCTTCAGTAAGACAGTTCCCTGAGGAGAGGTCATTTTCCATACATGCCAATTTAAGTCTATTTTGCTCCATTCTTCTGTGTCAGGCTTGTGCACCATATATTACACCTTCCATTATGCAAGTCTCCATCTTTTCTGGAGATAAGATATTACACCATTCCATGGGGCTGTTGTGTCTCCCAGGTCTCTTGATTTTATTTGGTTTCCGCTTAGGCAGAAACAAACTGTCTTGAGCCACCTGTGCAGTTCCTAATCTGTGTTCCCTAGGAGTGTGGGGATCTTGTGATTCAAGAAGTTGTGATTCAAGGAACTAATGTAGGTCATGGATGGATGGATGGATGGATGGATGGATGGATGATGAAAACTAGCCTTCTGACTATTCCACTGGGTCTCCTCTTTGAGTAGCTAGATTTGTGTTATATTTTTTTCTTTTAATTGTAATTCATTGTAAGAATTTATTTCTTCTCAGCACTTGGCTATAATAATTGGGCATATGTAGAGATTATTCACATCCAGATTGTCAGGTGTCGATGATGTTCACAAGAATATTCAAGCTGGACAAGTGAAAGGATGGTAACCAGTGAATGTAAAAAAAAAAGAAAGAAACCTCTTACAGCAGAAGAAAACACATATGTAGCAAGTATGTTAAGTAGGCAATTAGTAGAATTTGTCAGGAGTCTCTGAAACTTTTCTAACTACAGCAAATAAGAACGATCCTTCTTTTGTTATGTACGGGTTAGTCACGTCCTTCCACTCTTAGCATTGCTGCTATATTAGATTTTACATGTGCATATTAAAGAAAAAAAGCTGTATGTTAATCTTTTGCTTATTATAGCGAAATCAAGAAAGGCAATACATTTTTCCCCAAATATGATACTTTTACTGCACTGATATTGTGATCCATAATCCTAACTTTGTTGGAGAAGCTGCTTGACAGTTCATGTCTGTGTTTGTCACTCTGTGTGTGTACTTGTGTGTGTGTGTGCGCGTGCGCGCATGTGAGCTAAGGAAATCTCCTTGCTCTCCCCTGTAAGAAATAGGGTCATGTTGCAGAACGAAATCAAAATGCTTATCTCACCATCAAAGCAAAGCAAAGGAGTAATTGAGGTGCTGAGATTCTACCATTAACAATAGGGACCTGTCTTTTTTTAAATCTATAAATTATGGCTATATTTGAGATACATTGGTCTGGAATTTCTGTCAGAAGATATGTTCATTTGCCACACCTGTTTTAATTCTGACTCATTTGCTAGTTTTTGTATATTTTTAAGGTTCTCTTGTTTGCTATGGTTCTGGAATATCTATGCTCTGTGACTCTACCAAAAGCAAATCTCTATCCAGATTTCTGGTCTCTGAGCTAGTTTAAATGGGGATTCCAAAATCTAGGCAGGACATTTGTTTTATGTATAAAGAAGGATTAATTTACTTAACTTACGAAAACTGTGACCTAGTGGCAATAATTACCTCAAATGTGGGCATTTATCTTGGTTTTAGCCTTTTTTCTGAAAATATGCAGCCAGTCTGAAATTTGGATTTTAAAAAATACTTATCTATATGGGCAGAATATGATAAATACCTACCCTGGTCATTATGAGTAACCTTTAAAAGTAAAATGGCAAAATCTAGGATCAAGTTGGTGTTTTATGTATTTTAATTAATTGTGACATTAAAATGCACATGTAAGTATATTGTGTTCATAGCTACTGTAACGAGCTTCGGCTTTTGAAGATATTTAACAAATCGCCTTTTAAACCAACATGAACTAAATAACAATCTGAATTTCTGGCTACATTTTATAGTTATAGTATTTTATAGTTTACATTTAAACTGGTACTTTCTAACTCAATGTTCTGTTTTTAATAATATCTTCAGAATCTTAACACTGTTGTCTTTTCATTCTTTTTAATTTTTCCTTTTAGAAACGGAAGTAGCAATGTGTCTTTAATATGTATATTCTGTTCTGAGATATAACATAGTAGCAGAAAGTGAGATCAAATACAATAATTCCAAAGTTTAATTTAAAAAAAATCACTCCATCAATGTTAAAAATGTAGTCTACAAGATTACATTTTTATTTTTGAATTAAAAGTAAAATAAACCTTTGGGTATGAATCAGAAAGCATAGTAATTCCCAGGCATTTCACATGCAATCCGAAGTCCCATAAATACAGTGGGATTTACTTCTAGATAAACCTGTGCACAGTTAAACTGTCAAATTTCTAAATTTGGACAAAAATATATGTATATTGTGAAGAATGGATATGCTTAGCGACTCTGGGCTAGTTCACAACTGTATGTTTTGTTTTGTGTTTATGAGTTTTATAATCATGTGAAGCAACATTGTTCACTTAGAATGATCTTGTGAAAATGGCAATCTTGGATCACAGGTATATTATGTTTGGCTTTTACTGAAAATCTTGGAAGCACAGCATCATTTACATCCCAGCAGTAGTCTATTATACATTATTTTTTTCCAGTGGAGAATAGTCACTTAAATATCCCAGTCATGTAAGTGTTCACAGCAAGTAAAATGTAATGTGATGAAATTCTCAAATATGAACTAAGGATTCCTGAGAGAAGCCCTTGGGCTGCTTTGAGAAGCCGTAATAGGCAGCGCTTAATTTTGACACTACCCATTGATCTCTCCTAAACAAATCAAATTGTACTTGTCACTCTAGTTTCCCTTTGTATCTTAACTTAATATGAAGAATTAGACCAGATCTTTATACATTTAGTTGTCTGTTGTCCAATGACACTCTATAAAATGCTGTTTTGTAGTGAATTATAAAGTTGGATGTATAGAGTCTGTTGCTTTTTTCCCCTTCTTTTTTCCCTTCAGTTCTGCTTATGGCAGAGGAATGAATTTAAATGTACATCTTCTGCTGGTCAGGAGGTATTTACAAAAATATGCAGGAACTAGCTTGCAAATGATTCTGTCTGAACAGTTAAGCTTAGTTGTGAAGTTCATAATCATAGCAAAGTTCCTTGTATTCTTCACACAGCAGATTAACAAGTCATGGTGGAAGGAGAGAAATCCATTGTTTTTAGGCCTGACCAAAAACTAGTATTTCCAATGGCAGACCTCAGCCCATTTCAATAAATTCATTTAAAGCTATGGTATCTATACTCTAGCTCAACTTAACCAAAGCAAATCTTGGCATATGTCTGCCACCATTTTAGAAAACCAAAATGGGCGGCCATTTATGAATATTGACCTTAAGACAATGGAAGCATTTGGCCTCTGTGGTTCTTGGGCCCATCTACTAGCAACCAATCCCTCTTAGTTACCACTCACTTGTTCTGTCAATTTAGGTTTTTGAATGGCATTTCTTATCCCAAAATTATATATAAACAAAAATGTGCAGACTCCAAATCCTGTACCAAAAGCTGTCCCCCACTCCCCAAAAGCAAATAAGACAATAGCTTTATTATAATGGGAGAAAAAAGGAGATTTTGTAGTCAGTTGAAGTCTATATTATTATAGTTCTAGGAAAACAAAATAGGGAAGATATTTGTAGATATTTGGGTTCTTCTAATGTAATTGAGAGGGATTTTATAAATACTAATTTGTTGCCCAGAAGCCATGTAGCTCCAAGAAAACATTCTACACAAGAAGAGAGGGCATAAATTTTGAAATCATTTACATACACAAAAAAGATACATCTCCTACCTTCTACCTGTTTGATATGTTGAAGATTTCTTTTCTTACGTACAATACCATCTCATCTTCAAAATTCCAGAAAAGCCCTGATTTCTAACTGTATGGTTCTGTACTGAGTGTCAATCCATGTTATAACTTAGTGAAAATTATTGTGTGCAACAGTATTTTCTTGTGTATTGCATTTTTTTCTTTTAATTTTCTGTGAATTGTCCTTTTTTCCTCTTTCTTTTTCTTCTCCTTTTTCTCCCTTTTGTTAGTATTTTCCCCTTTCTGGTAATGTCTTTGAGGAAAAAAAAACAGAAGAAACTGACGTGTCGTAGAATTATATGTAACCTATTCCTTAGTCTCATATTATAGGTATGTTATAAGAATGGATATTTTACTTGGCTTTAGAATGTTTTACAAAAAACTAATTCTTAACCAATCAAGTTCTTGCTACTAAAAAAAAAAATCCCTTGTGTTTTTCATCATGACATTGTGTGCTTCTAATTAATAATCATTTTCGTTGTAGAAAAATGGAGTGAATTTATATTAGACTTGAAAACTAATAATAGCATTGTAAATTTATGAAATGATTTTAACAGAAAAAGCATTATAGAAAATATAGTTATTTTAATTGTAATATTACTAACTGTAAGGTGGAGAAGGGGGTCCCGTTGTGATGAACTATGTTATAGCTTGTTATTCACAGTTTCTTTTTGATCATTTTTTCGGTCTCTGAGGTGAAACGAGTTATTAATCAGAATTTGTAAACTCACATATGCATATTGTATATGTGTAGAAATGTAATCACACTTTGTCTTGGAATTACATTAAACTGTTTTAAGTCACTCTATTGCCTGCTTGTCTTTTAACTGGCATGGATGTGATATAAACCATTGGTTTGGTTTGGTTCGCTTTAACTCTGTGAGGAATTGGATCTGATGTGTTTTTTCAACTTAAAAAAATGAAAGGCAACATCTGTAAAGGCCATCACTTATAATTCATGTGTAGCATCTAAAATATAATTTACTATTTTACTGAATATCTTACCCACCCATTTATTGATATTCTAAATTTTAATATTTTATTTCTCTTGTTCTCTTTTCTAGTCAGGATGAAGCCTGAGGGAATTATTTTTTTAAAAAAATGTCTAGTTTCTTCTTAAAATATTTGTTGATACAGACTTGATTCATACACTATACTTAATCAAATGTGGTGGCTTATTTGTCTGTAACATAGCAAAGTAAATGGAGCTATGGTTTATTTAAGGACAAGATGTTCTGTAGCTCAGTCTCAAGTATAATCTTGGTCATTCTTTCTCATTGTGGTCCACTGAATACTTTGGGTCCCCTACCTGGATGGCCAAAACTCTGTTGGCTTAGGATTGCAGAAGTTAACATTGTTCTAAAATGATTGAATTGTAAAAGGCCATATCATCTCCAAAGTTTCATTCTTCATTAACTTTAATATTTAAATTATATTATAATCACACATGGGAATGGTGGTAAGTGACTCAAACAGCAATGGCTGCTGTGATTATATGCATCTTCCAAAGTTAGATCCAGCAGGTCACCTAATATCAGTTACCACCATAGGAGAAAAATAGTGTTTTTTGCATCCAATTTGTGGAAGTAAACCAAGGGGAAATCACACAACTTTGCCTCCCATCCTGCTCAATATTGGATCAATCATTTGACATTCAGTTTACTCATATGCTTGCATTACTCTTCTTGTGTTTCTTAGCAAGAGGCAGTGGTGGGCTGCAACTGGTTTAACAACTGGTTCTGTGGGTGCACGCTTTGTGTGCTTTGCGTGTGTGCGCAGCATTTAAAAAACACCAATTTGAACCTCAACGACTTACCTTCTAGGGCAGCCCTGGTAAGTAGAACAACAGAGGCGCAGAAATCCACTGGGCCACGTGAATCAGCTGAGCTGAGAAAGATGGAAATATAGGACAGGATAGGGTGGGTGCGGGTGGGTGGGGCCAGCTGATCATTGGAACAACCAATGATTGGTTGTACCAACCAGTAGAACCGATCCGAACCAGCAACAACCCAACACTGGCAACTCCATAGTCACACATAATGGTGCATCATTTTAAGCCTATTCATTTACCAAACATTTTCCCTAACTCATTATATTTTTCTTATATATTTCTCAATGACTTGCTGAAGAGCAAAAATGTGTTTTGTAGATCTCCTGCCCAGTATAAACACACACAACATTTTCCAAATTTTGGTACATGTCCCCTCCTGTGACCTGAAGCTTTTTGTCTTTCCTTTGTATAGGGAACAATATACCTACCCCAATTTTAAGTAGGGAAACAGTAATAGCATTCTTACAAATTTAAGACACAGATGCTTTTTTCATATGTACACTGAAAAATCTGCATAGCTATTCCATATGCAGACAACTTCCACATTTAACATTTTCTCCAGTTATACTATCTACACCTGCAGCTCTTTTATGACATTCTCATAACAGGTCTTTTCAACCATTTTTTCTTGGACATTATCATATATAACATTTTTATTGTTAAATGTATTGCTATTATTCCCATATTTATTTCTACTCCTTCCAACATTCCCTCATCCCTGTTTTAACCAATCACTTTTTTTTTGTACTTTAGGAAAAGCACATGTCAACAGAATATTCTCCTTTTTGCATTCATTCAGTATATTGTATTGCTTTACTCCAAACCCATCTCTGTTTCTTCCATTTCAACCATTTCACTGAAGCATAGCATGCAATTATCACCAATCTATGGATTCCTACTTTTATACACATATCTAGATGACACTAATTGCTTTTTTCTGACATTCATTTCAGCACTTTTTCATAATTAAACCTTTATTTTCATCTTTCTGCATTTATTCATCAATTCATATCTACCAAATTAACTTTCATTCACATCCATTAAAATACTAGTTCGTCTCTGCTGCTTAGACTTTTTTTTCTCTTTCATTAATGTATGCACTTTCTGATTTACTGCTATTCAAAATGACAATTTTTCATGGCAATCACTAGATGGATATACAGGTATCCCATCATCCATCATTCTGTGTCAGTCCAGGTTTTTGCACAATGCCTTTGAATAATCATGACTGTTCTGCCGCAATCAATTTAAAAAAAATGTGATAGCAAACCTGATCATTGCAAAAATAAAAGAGATGGACCTGGCTATCCTGCCCTCCCCCACCCTCAAAAGGAAGATTTTTTTTTAAAAAAAGCAAAAGGATTGGAATATTTTTTTTCTCTGCTAGGAGTGTGGCAGTTAATTCTAGTAACTCCTTACTTGTCATAAAAGGAAGACAGCTTTATAGCAAATGAATGCTTGTTTTAAAATGTAGATTTCAAGTTTTATTTTAAAAATAAAAATAATATCAACAGGTAGCTCATTCCAGAGACCCAGATTAACCACACCACATCTTGGCCCCATACAAATGTGAGATGTGCTTGCTATTATAGGTGAACATCCTTAATGACAAAAGGAGTGTACACATATCAGATTCTTCCAGGTAACCCAGATTTGTTATGAACTGGTAAATACTATTATTACTTCTTCTGCATTTTGATTGGCTATTTCTACTTTATTTTTAATACAATAATAAACACGTATTGAACTGCATTCTTTGCTCTCTTTAAGAACTGCATGTAATTTGTCAGGGTAGTGAATGAAAGAATCAGTAAACATTGCAATTGCTGGCCAGCTGTAGAAAGATTTTGCTTTTAATGCTTTGACCGAGACTTGATGTCAGTCTTGCTGTAAAGAAACCTTCCCCCAACTTGGAGTTCTCCAGATGAATTTGTCTATAATTCCTTTGCATCTACCATTTCTATGCTGGAAGTTGTAGTCCTAATATGTTTGTAGGACATCATGTAGAGAAAGTTTGTCTGCTTATTATTTTTATAAATAACTCAAGGTAACAAACATAGCTAAAACTCCTTCCTCTTCCTATTTTCCCCATAACAACTGTTGGTAGGTTGTGCTGAGAGAGGGTGACCGGCCCAAAGTTACACAACTGGTTGTCTTAGAATATGAGATGCACAATTCCTCCTACCCCAAAACCAAAATCTGACAGTAAACGTCATGATAATAAATTACTCTTTTTTACTTTATTTATTAAAATTATATTCTGCCCATCTCCCCGATAAAGTGACTCACCATTTTTTCCTGCTTCTACTAATAATTTCATTTGATTTAAACGGAATATTAAAATTTGGATGGCATAGATAAAATGTCTTTTAAGGAAACAAAAACATTAATTGGTCTTTTAAATCATACTAATTTAGATTGAATTTTCATTGTTTAGAGTCCAGCATCTTTTAAATTACATCTTGATTACATGGGAATACCACTAATGCAAACATATCTAATGGTTTTAAGGCCTTTCAGACATCCAGAAGGATGGTGCAGATCAGTGGTGGGATTCAAAAAATTTTTTACTACTGGTTCTGTGGGCATGGCTTGGGTGTGGCAGGGGAAGGAGGTCAATCAGAGGTGGTATTTGCTGGTTCTCCAAACTACTCAAAATTTCCACTACCGATTCTCCAGAATTGGTCAGAACCAGTCAGAACCTGCTGAATACCACCTCTGGGGCAGATCTCACCTATGATGTCAGGATGTGCCATACAGTTCACGGCAGAAAACCCCACTCTTCTGCTGGACCCTGATAACTGGGATGTCAGCTTTGGAAGCCATATTAACACCAAACACTTCCACACTGCCACATTCTTGAGCCTGAGAAGATGGGAGGGAGGGATTTCTTGGAGTGTATGTGGTTAGACATAATAGCATTCTTCTTCTAAGTCAAGGTCATGTTATTTCTGCACCTGGTTGAGTGGTTGAGGAGATGTCTCAAATTGAGGCAGATGGTGATTAGGGCATGTGATGCAATGAGGGATGCAGGGGGTGGATTTGTAATTTTTTACTTATTGAAGGGAAACCCGGAATTTTCAGATTTGGGATTTCCCAGAGGTTCCAGTTTACTACTCTAATAAAAGGAACCTTTGAGAAGATGTCTGTCTCAGAGTTATTGGTTGGAGATGAGGTTTTCTGGAACGCTGACATTATCCTGAATCTCAAAAATGTGGCAGTGTGGAAGTGTTTGGTGTTAATATGGCTTCCAAAGCTGAAATAGGATTCCTTTAGCTAAGCAGCAGGCCCCCTTCTGCCAGAACAGGTAGAATGGGCCAGTCTCATTGGAACAGGATGGTTCCTTTGCTATCCTGGACCATAAAGGGCTTCAAAGGCAATAACAAACACCTTGATCCAGAAACAAATCTGCAACCAGTGCTATTTGTGCAACTAGTTGGAGAGTAATTGCTATTTTTTTTCTGATATTATAGCAATTTCTATCTATTTTTAATTATGAAGCCATCCAGAATTGTTCCAGAGTTGGTCAGCCTAGGAAATGATGGCTAAAAAAAGTATTCAATAAATAATAAATAGTAAAATGTCACATAAGGTTGTGGCATGTGTGTTAAAAGGCTTTTAATCCATGGATTGAAAACAAAGGTAGTAGACCACAACACTCTCCTTTTTTTGAAAGTACAATGCTGTTTTAAATACAAATGGATTATCTTGGGACAGGCTGTATCCTCCCTCCGCTAGTGCCAGTCTATTTTTGCCCATCGCTTTTTGCATTTACCCTTAAGAATTTGTTTCAGTGTTTTGTACTGTTTTTCAGCAGCCCAGCAGAGGGCGCTAAGCACCTGCTCCTCAAGCAGTGAATTGCCCATTGATGGGTTTAAATCTATTTTTAAACCCCTGCACATTGACATTCATTCTAGCTTCTTCTCTTGGAGTAATAATTGGATGCAAATTTTGCCCTTCTCCATCATA